GACGGAAACGAGTGGAGAGAACAGAGAGACGGAGACGGAGGGAAATCAGAGAGGAGAACGAGGAAACAGAGACGGAGAACGCACGTGCAGGAACAGAGAGCGGAGCACCGAGGAGGGAGACAGAGACGGAGAACGGGAGGAAGATCATCAGAGACGGGAGACGGAGGGAAACAGAGACGGAGACGGAGGGAACAGAGACGGAGACGGAGGGAAACAGAGACCGGGAGAACGGAGAGGAACAGAGAGGAGACGGAGGGAAACAGAGACGGAGAGCGGAGGGAAACAGAGACGGAGACGAGGGAAACAGAGACGGAGACGGAGGGAAACAGAGACGGAGAACGGGGGAACAGAGACGGAGACGGAGGGAAAACAGAGACGGAGACGAGGGAATACAGAGACGGAGACGGAGGGGCAGAGCTCGAGGAAGACCGGAGACGGAGGGTCATCACAGAGATCGAGAAAAAGACAGAGGCCGGAGACGAGGGATAAAGAGCCCGGAGACGGAGGGAAAACAGAGACAGGAGACGAGAGGGAAACAGAGCGGAGACGGAGGGAAAACTAGAGACGGAGAACGGAGAAAGCAGAGACGGAGGGACGGAGGAAACAGAGACGGAGACGGAGGAAACAGAGACGGAGACGGAGGGAAACAGAGACGGAGACGGAGGGAAACGGAGAACGGAAGACGGAGGGAAAACGAGACGGAGGGAAACGGAGACGAGAGCGGAGGGAAAGCGGAGACGGAGACGGAGGGAAACGGAGACGGAGACGGAGGGAAAACAGGGAGGACGGAGAAGCGGAAGGAGGAGACACGGACGACGCAAAGCGGAAAACGGGAAGCGGAGACGGGACGAGAGGGAAACCAAGATCGGAGGGAAGACGGAGGGAAGACAGAGACGGAGACGGAGGGAAAGCAGAGACGGAGACGGAGGGAAACAGAGACCGGAGACGGAGGGAACAGAACGGAGACGGGAGGGAAACAGAGACGGAGAACGGAGGGAAACAGAGACGGAGACGGAAGGGAAACAGAGACGGAGACGGAGGGGAAACAGAGACGGAACGGAGGGAAACAGAGACGGAACGGGGAAAGCAGAACGGAGACGAGGGAACAGAGACGGAGACGGAGGAAACAGAGACGAGACGGAGGGAAACAGAGACGAAGACGGGGAAACAGAGACGGAGACGGAGGGAAACAGAGACGGAGACGGAGGGGAAACAGAGGAACGGAGAGAGAAACAGAGACGGGGAGAAACAGAGAACAGGGAGAAACAGAGACAGGGAGAAACAGAGACAGGGAGAAACAGAAGACTAGGGAGAAACAGAGACAGGGAAAACAGAGACAGGCGCACCAACGACAGGCAGAAACAGGAACGAGAACAGAGATCAGGGAAAAACCAGGAGAAAATGCGATAGAAGAGAAGAGAGAAAAGTTTGAAAAGAAATGATTTGATTTTGTGAGTATTGTCATTAAGCTCATACGTCTCTCTCTCTCTCTCGTGTCTGTCTGTCTCTCTCCGGCTCGTTTGGACTCGGCATGCAAAAATAATTATTCTGAATGTTGATAAAACTCTTTCGGGAGGGGGACAGTGATGCATGTTTAACAAATGAGAGATGTCTCACATATCTTTCATTCAAATTATTGATACTTTTCGATTGTTACAAATTACTATTCATGTTCCTTTTTAATGTGCATTTCCTCTTACTGTGTATTAATTCTGTATTATAGAAGGCATCCCAGAAGTATTCTACTTTGGCCCATGTGGAAAATTCAATGCTTTAGTAATGGAATTGTTGGGACCCAGTTTGGAAGACTTATTTGACCTTTGTGGAAGGAGATTCTCTTTAAAGACGGTGCTGATGATTGGTACACAACTTGTAAGTGAATTTCTTTGATTTCCTATCTCATTTTATGCAGTTGTATTCTAGGAGCGAAATGTACAAATGCAGAATAGTGACATCATTAAATTCAAACAATGAAATCAAAGAGATACTCTGAAGGCAGTACAAAATTTTAGAAATTTAATAATTGTGAAATTATAAACAAAATTTCACATATATATGTATGTATGTATATATATGTATGTATATGTACACACACACATACATGCATACTAAACTAAACTAATTAAATGTGAAAAAGGTACTTCATAAAGTAGTTTGTTACAGTTTCTTCTTAAATTGATAATCCCTTTTGCAATATTGTACAGTCAACGTATTCTTTCTATACTGAGTAGAGGAAGAACTTTTGTGGATTTGCATGAATGACATTTAAAATAAGATTTTTGACACTTTTTGACGTAACATTTTACACAAAAATTGGAGTAAGAAGCCTAATGCATGTGGTGATAAATTGAAAAAAATGTCCCTATTGGTTGACTTGTAGCAGTTTAGGTTTAATTGAACAAAACATACCAAATAATGAGGATGAGGATAATCAATTAAAATTCTACTAAGAAAAAGGAGACATCAATATTATTGTTGTGAAGCAAAGTCAATAAATACTAAAGTAAATAAATTAACTGCATACAAACAAGTAAAACATAATGAAGAAACATTGAAATACGGTGAAAAATTGTGGAACGCATGCTCACAGGTGTATTTAGGTCTTCTATGCACAATGTATAGATGATACCTGATTCAGCATCAATAATCAAGCCAATCAATTTATATGGGGAATTTGTCTTTTTATGCCACTGCCATTATTACACTAAGGTTTGGTAACCTTAATTGGCACATGAATTTGAACATATATATGAAAATCAAACCTATGAAGTTACAGTATTACCACAGAACCATCTTGATTAGACAGATTGTCCACCTTATAGTATTAAAGATATATGTACTCAAATTATTAAGTACTCTGTATTTAGGGGAACAGTATATAGAACATCAATGACATCCTAAACTGTTCTAAACGCTTAAATGTTTATAACATTAATCAATCTTCTTTCCTTTATTTTTCAGCTTCACAGGATAGAGTATGTTCACAGTCGACATTTAATATATAGGGATGTAAAGCCAGAAAATTTTCTTATAGGCCGCAACGCCGCAAGAAAAGATAAAGTTATTCATATAATAGGTAAGGACTATTTGTCAGACAAGTGATTTTTGTTTTGTTCTTTTTTTTTTTCTTTTCAATTCTGCTTATTTTTGATTCAAATGAGCGCTAAAGTATTAAAATCTGTTTATTGGCAGATGTATTAGAGATGTTTGCAATGCTTGGTATATATTTTTTTATGGGAATTTTTGTAAATTATATTGTAAATGTCGTTGCCATCAGGTTAATTTTCACAAGTTTCTGTCCCCAAACTCTCTTATTTTTCCCAGAGGATGAAAAATCTGGCATTGTATATAAAATTAAAAAAATACTAATGGGTTGTTGGGCTGGATGTTAAGAAAAACCCATTTATTTTAACATTGTTTTCTCAAAGTCATTAATAATTAATGCAAAGCTACTACATAACTACAGAAAAAAGGATATTTGTGGTTATGATGAATAATTTCAAAATTATTTATAAACTAAGAAAATTTTTGAGCAATTAAGAACGGAGCAAAAATTATTCATTACGTTACTCCAATACAAATAGGACAATTTGGTGGATTATGAGAGTGAATATGACAAAGAGTAGTATTGCATAAATAATCCACAGGTGACAGTCTGGTATTGCATTGTTGATCCTAAAATTAGATTTAAGGATTCACTTTATTTTTTTCCGATGGTAGTTTATAAAGACAGAGCTTACGCTTCTTTTTTACTGGCTTATGTTATTTACAAGTTCATTAACTTGTAAATGAAAGAGCATTTAAAGAGTAAATTTTTATAAAGGGGGCAAATGTGCTAACAGTAAACTTCTCCAGTGATTGAACTTGGACTTGTTATGTACTTTCTACATTTGATTTTGTGAATAATCCTGAAAGTTTTATTTTTCATTATTTTCTATTGCTTTGTTATAGTTCCAAATAGAATAATACTGGATAACTTATAGTTTACTTAATTACAAGATTTTTGTGATATGGCAGAAAAGGAAATCAAGAGCTTTTAATTTTTTAAATAAATTTTAAGTTTTTTGTTTTTTTTTTCCATGTAATAGATTTGCTGATGTTTTGTATTTTTGTTGTTGTTGTTTTTTTTTCTTTTTTTTTTTCTAATTTTTAAATGTGTTACAGTCAGTATTGAAAATTGTTTCAGATTTTGGTTTAGCAAAGGAATATATAGATTTAGAAACAAACAAGCATATCCCATACCGGGAACACAAAAGTCTTACAGGAACTGCAAGGTACATGAGCATCAACACACATTTGGGCAAAGGTGAGCCACTTAAAAATATCACCTGTATGAATTTACATATCATAAATGTAGCTTATTGGGTTCATATAATTTAATGGTTTTTATACTATAAAAATGTCATATTTTAATGTAGTAAACTAAGAATTTAACAGTGTAAGTGGTTTTGTATTTGTGCTGGGTTTATGATTTTACCGTATTGTCTATTTCATTTTAATGAGTGGAATTGATTTGCATCTTTAATTTAACAGAATATTTGCATGTAAATTTCAGAACAAAGTCGAAGAGATGATTTAGAAGCTTTGGGTCATATGTTCATGTATTTCCTACGTGGGAGCCTGCCGTGGCAAGGACTGAAAGCAGATACTCTAAAAGAGCGGTACCAAAAGATTGGCGATACCAAACGAGCCACTCCCATTGAAGTACTTTGTGAAGGACATCCAGGTTGGTATCTACTATTTGGTTTTGTGTGTGTGTGTTTTTTCTTCTTTCACCTAGTGATAGTAGAAGCAAGACTCTTTTGTTAGCCCTTTTTTCTTTTTCTTTTATCTTTTTTTTTCTTTTATTTTTGTGTGTATTATTATAAATTAGTATTGTACATTATTATGCATTACTATTTACATAGTACACAGAAAGTATTGTAATGCTTCAACAAAAATGAGCGATTTTTTCACAGAAACGACTTTTGAGAGTCCCTAATTTAAAAAAAGGGCAATGTGGAACAGATTTTGATTTTGGGAGTACTTTTTATGAAGCTTCAGGTTGATTTGAACATTTTTTGAAAAATGGCTTCCATTTTTTTCTTTACATTTCAGATTAATTAAAATATATGCTTATAAAAATGGCACAAGTCTTTTTTTAACTTCTTGAAAATTTCTAAAATTGTGAAAGTTACTAATTTTTTTAAATATTCTCCACAAACTATATATTTGAAGAGACAATTCTTTTTCTTTGTGGAATCTCTTCCTTGTTTTCTTAAGTAAGGGGTGAGAAAAGGGCAAGGAAGAGGAACGAAAGATCAATCCCAGTCTATGGCCTATTTGTTAGGGAACTGCTCTGACATTCACTTAAGTGTTGATCAGAGAAATCATGGAATACTACCAATCAGAGCAGTTGGCCTCTAAATTGCTCCTCCAGACAGCGGGTGATCTCAACTTCGCTGTCAAGCCAGTGTCAAATTCTGCCGCAGTCAGGACTCGAAATCTTAGGTCCTAGAGGGCAGAGGTACTACAGTTACATCAGTTACTCTGAGCCACCTTTGCTGATGCCATCATTTTAAAATAGAGGGAATGGAGGGCTTGAAGATTTTTACAATAATACCTGGAGATAATTCCTGAAATAATAGATAGGTAGATATTTTTATTATTATTAACTATTAATAAACTTCCTATTTACACATCCAGTGTATCAAAATACTAATCAGTGTGAACTTTGACACACTCTTGAAAATTCTATCGATTTAAATTTACAAAGTTTTACAGTTGCAATTTCTATTACTAAATGAAGTGGTTCTCTGTGCCACGTGCTGCCCCCATCCATCTTTTTCTGATGGCAAATTACTCACTGCCAGTCCTTTCAATCTCTCCTTTTACCTGAGAAAGTGTCGGCGCTGTGGAGGCAACTCTTGTAAGAGTTACGAGAAGGTAATATTGTCTGCTTAATTTCAAATTGCATGACCTTTTAATCATCAGTTACACAAATTAGTGTGTCGGATAACTAGAGCCCAGAAGTTTCGGCTTTTATTTCTACTAAAATAGCCATGCAAAAAGGATTTCTTTTAACTAAAGATGAGGTGCAAAATGGCACATAAACCATGAAAAACATCATCTAAACTGAATTATTATAAAAAATTATTAATTTTGTAATTTGAATTAAAATTATATTTGTAGTAATAAATATTGTAACAAATTAAATTAAAAAATGCATCGTTGTGTTATTATAGAAACTTTTATTAGCTCATAACGTGTAAGGAAACTATCTTTTCTTTGCGATCTTGATTCCACATGACCAGTTTGATTCATTCACAATTTTCTCTCTTCAAAATGCTATGTAGACTCCCTTTTTACTCTTGAAATGGCATCAGAAAAAACTAAAATACATTTTTCATACTTCACACTGGAGTAATCGCAAACACTGTGAAGGGTATATCGTGCACAGATAGCTGTCTTCAAAGGGGATCGGAGGCCATACTCAAAAGTTGGATGACATACCTTATAAGCCATACAAAGCCTTTCGGCATCAATAAATAAATAAAAAAATCTTGACTGGTATCATGTTTCCTTCTTATTTAGATTTTTAACAGAGCCTCTGCTTCCATAGAAAGACAAAAACACAACTCTGCTTTCATGTTGTCCAGGCTGGCAGGTACATATCCAGCTTGCTCGAAATCAGTGCTAAGAGAGGGAAAGCAAAAATAATGAAAGACGTAAAAGGCAGAAAAGGATAAAAAATATAACAAAAGACGAAAATAGGCATCAGAAGCTAAAATGAAGAAAAAAACAACTCCAGAAGTACAATTAAGTGATTCCTAGTATTAAGTCATTAAATAGCAACAATAACAAAATGGCATTTTGCCAAACTTCAGGTTCTTCTCATAGCTATTTGAACAGAGAGTAACTGAACTGAAATATCAGCCCTTTAAATATAGAAAGAAACCATTGCAATCAAAGGACGTTGAATGCGTTGGAACCGAAGGAGGAATGTAGGTCGCAGAGGGAGAAACAGTGCTCTCAAATATCAGCTGGTTGTATAACACCATATGAAAGGTAAGAGCTGCTGAAAAATTGCTCAAATGAATCGAGCTTCTCCCTCGAGGGGGGATTGTATTTAGTGAAGATAGCTGGTTTCTAAGGAAGGTTAAAAGAAGTCTTTATATAAGTAGTCCTGAAATAGTGGTATAGTTAAAATATTAATTAGGGAAGAAAGCTGGAGAGAAACCCCAGTAGAAGAAGAAGAAGAAGGCTTATGAGAGCAAATTTCCATGGTTCTTGTGGAAGAAGGCCCTTTGTTAGTAAAATAATGGGAGAAGAAGAAGACTACTGTTCGTGAGATAACAAAAGAAAGATCTAACAATGGTGGAATCGCATAATTTTTGCAGGTGGGTTCAAATTCAACATTTGAGAGACATGGACAAATGGTGTGGGTGACTTTGTACTCATTGAGTAGAAAATGAACGGAGTATTGTATATAACGAAAAAAGATTTTGAAACATGCCCTCTCTCGTCTTTCAGTTTTGGCCATGCACCACAATCTTTCCGACATTCGTACTTACCAGCTAGCGTTATAGTACGTAATGTTCTTTTGGGACCCCCAGACCCGAGCAAGAGGCATTTGCCTCTGTTCCTTCGTTATTTATTTATTTATTTATTTTAGTGCTTAACAAATTGGTCTGTTTTGCAATTTCAATCTTATGAACAAAATGACCCAAGACATTCAGTACACTTAGTGAAGCTTTGGTTTTTTTATGACTGAAAGTGATCCATCCACCTCCACAATCCTCCGATCTTAATGTGATTGAAAATCTTGAATTTGCTGAGAATGTCGCTTAGAAAATCCCCAATCAGATGAAAGCAGTGAAGAAGGTAATGCAGAAAGAATGAAAAAAAAATATATGCTATATTCACAAAAATAATTGATTTAAAGTATGCCTTGGAGATTGAAAAATGTAATTAAGATTAAAGGACTGGCCATAAAATATTGAACGTGTGCGTGGTTGGTTGGTGTGTTTTTAAGTATTGTAGTTCATTTTGTTTTAAATAACCCAAGTGTCCGAATAGTTCTGAAGGGAGCATTTTCAGTTTCTAATGTATTTAGTTTCTGTTTTGTGTGTTTAAAATGAATGTTTGAATAAGGCCATATTTGTTTTTGATATTTTGAGACACTATTTTTAAAGAAAAATTCACAAAACCCAAAATTATTACAGACAATTTCTCTATGGCATATTACTTGCCCCAGGATTCCTCATTGTTGGGTGATACTGCATTACAATATGTTGGGTGATACTGCATTACAATGTGAACCGTTTGGAAGCTATGGGGTTGGCGGCCATATATCTTCATAGTTTGTGGGACACTGTGTATTCATTTGGAATTATTAATTTCGCTGCCATTTGGTCTTTAGTGTATATTCGGATAATGTATACAGTGACTTCAAAGCATTCTAATTCTCAATTATTGTATGGGCAAAAAGAAGGCCAAAATATGCTCTGTAAGAAAATACACAGTGGCAGGAAAGTGCTGAAAATGTAGGAGTTTGTGTATGTATACTTCCATTTCTTTGACCTCTCTGAACTGTTGAGAAAATTGATACATGCATTCCATTTTCTGTTCTTTTCTTGTTTTAGAGGAAATGGCCACCTACCTCCGATACGTGCGAAGACTAGATTTCTTTGAAACTCCAGATTATGAGTATCTCAGGAAGTTGTTTCAAGATCTTTTTGAAAGAAGAGGTTATGTGGACGATGGTGAATTTGATTGGACTGGGAGAACAATGGTAAGACTTAAGTTTCTTCAATTATTAACAGGTTTATATCAAGTTAGGTTTTCTATTCTTATGTTTAAAAATATTTCACCCTTAATATTGTCCCTCTGTAGTTGCATTGAAACTAATAGTTCTTTAAAACTTTTTTTCCGACCATTCTTTCAGTACTCTTATCCCTTGGGCCTAAAATTTAAAATGCTTTCTGTTTCTCTGAATTCCACTCTCGTCTCTTTTGCTCTTTGTTTTTTAAATTTTAAACTTTTCATGGCGCGTATACCCAATATTACATTTGTTCTTCCCCTTATTTTGATCTTTATTCCACATGTTTTGGGACATGTTCAGTTTTCTTTCTTAAATGTTTTCTTCTTACTCTTTTCTTCTTTCTTGATTGCTGCAGTCTGGAAGTTCATATTTGCCTACTGATTTGCCTTTTTATCTCCTTTTCCTCCCAACTGTTCTTTTATTTCTCAGTCTCTTTCAATTAGAGAATTTTTATTTAATATTGCTCTTAGAAAATTAATTACGTAGCATAAAAATAATTTATTGTGAATTGGATATTGAATGAGTTACTAAAATTTCAGTCTACATTTTTTATGTTTTTGGTATACATTGAAAGATAGCAAACTCGAGTTCATAGTTGAACTCATACCTGGCAAGAACTTCGATTTATTTATGTATACAAATGCCTTTCAATTTGATTGTTTTGGTACATGCTGTTTTTGTGGTAGACAAAATCGAATTAGGTGTAATATGTACTGGATTGTGTTCCTGTTTTGTGTTTAATATTCTGATTATGTTGCTGTTTGTATTGGTTCATTTCATTGTGACTTGTGCTTTCTTTTCTACAAAGTACAATCATGCAGTACTTTCCAAGCACTTCAGAGTACAATCAATGCACTTCCACGACAAGATTAGTTGTAATCAATCTCTCTCAAATATGTGTTTCATTATTACATTTTATTTTAAAAATATATCTTGTTACCTGGGTTCATCACTTTGGTTGCCATTGTCATCAATTGTAGAATAGTAATACTTATTTTAGGGAAGAGAATTGTAGCTGTGGGATTGTACTTTCATATACGAGTTGACTTGTATATTCGTTCAGTATAATTTGTAATCATCTACATTCTTTCTCTTTTTTCTGTTAAAAACATTCATTTCCAAATTAATAATATAGATATAAAATATTTCAGAGAAGAGACCGTAAAGGAAGTTCTTGCTTCATATGCTAATTTTTCACATTGCCAAGAGAAAATTCACTTCAGTCCTATGTATGAGGAATGGCAACTTAAAGGATAAATGGGTATACCAGTGATACTGAGTCAGGGAAAAGTAAGTGACTAATTTTAATTTTAACGCGTTGATTTTGTATAGATACTTTGTGCTTTTATGCAGTTGACATTTGCAAGGGTTAAATCTTTCCTCTTAAGATAATTGGTTTGGAAGAAAGTTATGTTGCAGGAAATGTGTGTTTGTATTTACATTGTTTTATTTTCTTGCACACATACTACCTATTGACAAGTAGTAAAAGGCTGGTTTGTCACCAACCTTTTGTGTTAGATTTCAAGTTTTATCTTCATGATGAAATGAAGGTAAGATTTTGTATTTCTTTTAGGCCGTCCTTTCTTTAAAATGGTTTAGGTGGCATGTGAACGTGAAATAATGCCTGATTGTTATTTATTAAATTATGTTACATTTAAAGAGATGTATTAAATATTATTTTCCAAGTTGTAATGGCTCTTATGGATGGATATTGTCCTTCTGTAATTTTGTTCGCCAAGAAAAAAAAAATTATTGCTTGTATTTCTGAAGAAATGCTATTAGTTCTAATTATCAACGGAAAGTTCACCATATCATTTTTGTTGCTTATTTCACTTCAACTAGCATTTATTTTTATAGTAAGATGTCTTTTTACTCTTAAGTTTGAGGTGGACTCACAGTATTCCAAAATTTGTTCTGCTTATCAATCATTGATGTCAAACATGAAGGGAAAAATTTATTTGGCATCATGGGCATATTATCCAAATTTTAGGCAAATCAATGAACAATTTCCAGTAAGTAATCCGTATTTGATATTTATGATTGTTACAAAAGATTGTAGCTGAAAGCAAATTAAAAATAGGGTTAATCTTTCCTCGGTAAATTCGGTAAATAGTAAACTTAACCATCTTTTTCTAGTTGCAGTAGTCCAAAGCATTTGGAATATAAAAAAAGTAGTTTTAGGATATGTAATGAGCCCAAGGCATGAGCTACTTTCCCCTTTTCTAGAATGCTTAATGAGGAAGTGGTAGAATACACGCGTTCAAACAGCTGTCGTGGAATAATTTCTTATCAAATTTGGGTGTGAGAGCCTGAGGGAATAATAGGAATTATATCATTGTAAGATTTGGAATTTCTTTTTTACTACCTTTTGACAATGATACCTCCTTTTCTGTATTATACAGTGTCATACTGTAGATATTACGTTAGCTAGGGCTGCGGTTTATGTTCACTTTAGACAGATTTACACATTTTGCTCTGAAGTTTTACTGCATGATATTTCGAATCCTTTTACACATCTTAATATTGTGGTGTGTTACTTTCACTGTATGCAGTTATAAAGTGAAGTGTTAGTACATTGCTTCTTAACAACCATTACATATTATTTTGAAGAGTTGTACAAGATGGATAAGGTTCATCAACCACTTTCAAGTAATTATGATTTAAACGTTAGAAGAATGCTGATATTACCCTAAACATTGACATTACAAACAGAATATTTATCACTGTACAAAATAATTGTGATCTGTGGGGAAATAATTTGTTACGTGAAGAAATGGAAATTTTAAAAAATCATGTATTTTTTGACATTACATATCTTTACTTAAGAAGTTACACTTTCTTGTTCTGACAGTTATGTTGAAAAACTAATTTAATAATTGCTAAAAGGCAATGAGAACCTACTGTGATGAATTGTTGTTTCAAATGAATTTTACCTGTTTACAAATCATAAAGTGCCAGAACTTGTTGCTCTAGCAAGTGATGAGTCAAAGGGAAGTGCATTGATTATTACTCAATTCTTTCAACTGCTGAGATATGTACATTGGAGAGACAAAGGCAATGGTTGTATTTTTTACCTCGTACATTTGATGTGATATTTTCATTTCTAAAACTTCTTTGAATTGCATGTGATCTTTGCTAATTTTTGTGTTAGCCTTCAAATTTCCACATAATGCGTCTCTTAAGGAATGCTCCACCCTCTCACATTGGGAAAACTAAATCTGATAAGGTTTGTATGGATTTACATTGATCATAACGTTTTTGTCATATCTACTGATCATTTCTCTGATGAATATTTTGTTTAGAATAATGTAGCTCTCTCCTTTTATTAAATATTTCCCGCTATTTATTTTTCTGAGTTTATTTAACTGCTGAGGTAGTTATAAGGCATGACAAATGCAAAATTAAAATTCAATCATCATGAATAAAAGTTTTGAAAAAAGGTTTGCATTGACATAAAGATCCTTCAAATACTATTGATTGATTGATTTTATTGACATCTTTCTCATACTACTCGTCTTTACTGACTATAACTTCAGAGCCATTTTTAAATCGTGTTATAATTGGTTCCTTTCATTTCATTTTCGTGATAGTTTAAGTAAAGTATCTATGAAGGGAGCCACGTGTACACTAACACTCAATATAGTTTTCAATTTCTCAAACGTGCATAAGAAAGAAAGTTTCTGGAATTGTAAAGGTTGGACACGGGACATCGAACACCTCCCAATTTAGAACATTTATAAAATTCAAGACAGGGAATCTGTTGAGGAGTAATGACCAAGGTAGAGGATTAATATCTGTGATTCTTTGAAGACGTTTAGAATTTGAGAATCCAGTTTGTTCTTAATTTATTTTTAAATATTAGGACAGGGTGAGTATATTATATATTTGAGATATAGTATTGCCATATATTAATATTACACTCAAGTTTTACCTACTACCACCTCTTTTACTGTGTTATTATATAGTTAAATGTTCATGTACTTTAAATATCTCTTTTCAATAAAAGAAGGATACCTGAAGTATAGAATGTTAGAAGTATTATGCAGAATTTGTTAAAACAAGAATCGATTATTATGAATAAATTTTGTTGTCTCTGTAGGGCATTTATTGATATTCTGTTCTGTCAATTTGGTGACAGGTGAAATAGGAATTGCTTGCTCAAAATCTGTTCAGCCTTCGGGAGGTAGTCCGCTTCCAATGTTGTTATCTTTACAAATTGCTATTAAAGTATTGTAGCAATAATTCAGATTAAATTTTCTATATTTTTAATGAGTTTATAAAGATAGAGGATTTCTTGATGTGAAACTGTAATTTTGTTTATATTTTCTGTTAATAGAAACCTTAGAAATTTAATAGACAAAAACTGAGGCTTATAGTATGTCTTCATTATTTCATTTTGTTAAAACTCCACTATTTTAAGTATCTTTTGCTTCTATTAATTAAAAGCATTTAGCTGTTCCCTGTATCGTATTTAAAATAAGGAAATTTTGCACAGCAACTTAATACATGTATTCTTTGTGTATTACTGCACAGGCTCCTGTCGTATCCAGTGCACGATAATCATATATTAATGATTATTCAGTCATGAGAAACATTATAATAAAAGAAAATTGAAGTCCCATGCATATTTTGAAAACTGGGCACACATGTTTTCTGTACCAGACCTTGTATGTATGTAGTATCATATTTCATGCAAAATTAGTATACTATTTAAGCCTGTTAGATTCAGTGTTAGAATATTAAGATTTATTTTCTATTTAAAGTTTCCAGCATACATGCAGTATTCCCTCCTATGACCTCCCTTCCCATTCTGTATTGGTCCTTGGAGAGAGAGAGAGGGGGAAGAGGACTGCTTTGTGGCAGTTGAATGTGGAAACTATTGAGAAGAAGTGCATAATCAACTCATAGAGAGCTGGTTTTTTATAATTGAATGTGCTGAAGTATAGTGTGCACATTCGCAAGATACATTAAACTTAATATTATGGGCTGTGACATTTTTAATGTATATTGTAATGATTTCTCAAGTATTTTTATGTATATTTTTTACGAGATTTACTTCAATTTTTTTACTTTAATTTTGTATTATGAAAATGTACATTCGTTTTTTATTTTGAAATTTTGAGTTATGTTTTTTATATATTAATACCGTTGAAGGTGCATATTAGTTAATTATATAAATGAAAGTAAATGTTTGTTATTCCAATTCGCTAATGAAGGGGGGAAATGTTCAGCATAATATTGCATGTTTCTTCAGTACAATAATTCTCAGAGAATGGTCAGTAGAAGAAGACGTTAGGATAAAAGGTATTGTTGTTTTTATTTTGGTTTGTAGTCTGTCAAAGTTGTTTTGTTTCTGTTTTTTTATTTTTAATTTGTTGTATTGATCCTTAAACACATTTAATTTGATTAGTGATTTGTTTTTAAACTTTACCTGAATGTATTATAAAATTAAAAAGCAAATGTCTGACAGAGTGGCCACTTTCTGAAAAACAAACTTCTAAAGCGCAGAGTTTTCAAACAAGGGCAAAATTTAACAATTTTGTCTTGTGTAATTTATTCAGGTATTTCATGATATTCCAGAAAAGCAATATATTATTAGGAAAGATGGTTTTTGGAATTCATAAGAACTATCAACACAAAATTTCAGATGTGTGTTACTACCGAAAAGGGACTCCCCTCTCCATTATTCCTGCGTCAAAAAGATTTAAGATGAAAAACACACTTTTGCAGATGACGCATTTTGAAAGTTACGTGCGCATGCAACACACTTTACCATTGGGCATAATTTGGAAAAGGTGCATCCTATGTCTTTAACCAAGTTTTTGTGACTCTGAAGGGGACACACGTCAAGTTCTTTATTCTGTAATCAACATGTTGAGACTTCTTGGATATTCTATTAAGGTTTTTGAAGATTCCCTCACCTTGAAACACAGGTTGCCAAAAATGCTTAAAGTTAGTTCCCAGTGTGGATCAATATTTACTTCAAAAAATGATTTAAAAAGTGTTGTTTTGTTTTGGACATAGCAATATTTTTCTTTCTTGTTCTTCTTCTTTTCTCTTCTTGTTCTTCTTTTCTCTTCCTCTTCGTCTTGTTCTTCTTTTCTCCTCCTCTTCTTCTTTTCTCCTCTTCTTCTTCTTTTCTCCTCTTCTTCTTCTTTTCTCCTCCTCTTCTTCTTCTTCTTTTCTCCCCTTCTTCTTCTTCTTCGTCTTTTTGTTTCTTCCCTTTAGTCCAATATCTGGGTCTGTTGTTGTTGTTATTATTATTATTATTATTATTGTTATTATTATTATTATTATTATTATTATTATTATTATTATTATTATGTTACATGTTTGAATTTCTACTCTTCTTAGTACAATAGCTACTCAAAACTTCCTTATTTATTTAGCAGGAGAATCATTACACTATCCACTGCCATGTTTATGCTGCTAACGATTAAAACTGAACGTCATAAAAAATAATAAATAAATAAATAAATTAAAAAAAACTGAATTTGCAGATTATCATATGGGGAACATGCAAGCGAATATGCAGTGAAACATGAAGAAACATATAGGGAGTCAAGGAACACACTGGGAAACATTTGATGTACATTCAGGAAACGTGGGAAAGGATGTGAGGAAACCTGCAAGAAACATACTGGGAGAATATGAGAGAAAATTGGAGGAGGAGGAGGAGGGGGTAAATGTAGTGGGTTATGTCTAATTAAACAGCATTCTATAAAATTATACCGTTTTGTACCTTGTATTATACTTTTTAAGATTAAGCTAATCTGAGTACCTCATCTTGATAGCATGCTTGGGTGATCAGAGTTCAGTGGAACCTCAAATTCTTGTGTAAAATTAAACGTCCATTCAATGGGCCTGTCTTGATTAGCCTACAGCACTTTAATGAACAACTCAGAGGCTGACCTCCAAAGCTGGGATCCAATTTGAAGCTAGTGTTGCTTACAATATTCCAATTTATGATGGGACCACTGTCACCGCCACCCAACCAATTTGTGTTCTTCAGGTGTGGGAATGGCATTGGCATGTAACTGTTGATGCAGGCTGTTTTCCAATGTTAGGTCTGTAAATAATTTCTCTTGAACCCTTTGAATTTTCAAAATATTAGGAGTATATTGCCTAGGAGTTTTTCCAGTGATGGCTGAAGTGTTAGTAGGGTAGTATATGCAGGGTTGGGCAAAATATTTTAAATTTAGTATCTAAATAATTCTCTAAAATACCTTAGTACTAATACTAAAGTATTCAAATACATACACAAAATACTTTAGGGGTCGTCCATAAATAATCAAATGCCAAATATGGGGGAGGGAGTTTAAGGCAGCTTAATGCTGCATTACATAAGGGTAACAGGGTGTTAGCTTAATGTTATGCAACACTCTTAATTTTTAACATTTGTTGAAATAATTGTGTTTTCAGTCTTATTCTAAAACGTTACAATATTAACTAATTATTGTTTGAAAAATTAAATTAATTGAAGTGATTATGTGTAAATTATTACAATAAATGGAAATATTTTTCATTATTTTTTTATTCAATCTGTAAGATTATGAAGAATATATTAAAAACTTATGTATATTCAGAATTCAATTAAATTGGAGTAATAGACTCTATCCGAGCTACTCCATGAGGGAAAGTAAACAGCTTTGTTGTCAAACCTTTTCAAGTTTTCCTTCACCCACAAATTGTCCCCAATCTAATACTTAGGTGTGGACAACTAATCATCACAATTATCACCAACAATAATTATCGCAAATTTTAATGTATATAACACAAATAAAATTGTTACAAATTCGTGAAGTGTAATATAATTTCTTTTTACTTCTTGTAAATGGGGGAGCGGATGTTGTTGTGATAGTTAGGATATAATTATTTAGGGGAAGCTCAAGCACGCGTTACAGAAAGAACAGGGTATATTCAGAATACTCCAAATTAGCGTTCCGTAATTTTTAGACTGCCTCTTAGGCCTTGATGTCCTAAATACATACGTATTTAAAATGCTTCAAATACTCACAATACTGTAAATATATAATAAATTTGTATTACATATTTTATTGCAACAATATATTAATTGTCAGTTGCAGTAAATCAGTAATTGACAGTCATACAAATTTCTGAACAATAACTATTGTAATGTACATTAACCATATCTATAAACATTTTCAAATATAAAATGACATCAAAAATATCTCTTCACACTAAGAAACGGAATTTCCTTTTAAAATGACTAAACTTTAATGACTAATAACTAATTTTTCAAACAAATCATCAGGCAGTAAATCCTTAGGTGGCGAATGTCTAAAACCTGCAAAGGAAAATGGTCATTCAATTGGCGTGAACATAAACTAGTATTTTAATGAATAAATTCCCATTTTTTATTTTGCCAGTTAATTGTCTCTCACTTTTATAATTTAGATTTACCATTTAAAAATGAAAAGAATCAAAATTCAACAGCTGAAAGGAACTTTTATTTCTTGTTGTAATGAGGTGCATTCACTAGTGGAATAAAAAAAAAAATTCGTCTGTATTTGAAGTATTTATGTTTTTAAATAGACCTACTTTATGTATTTAAATACATCTCTAAAATACATTCCCAAAAAACTCATACTTTTTTTTCAAATACAGAATGTATATATAATAATTATTTCAAATGCAAGTAATTAAATACTGCCCAACCCTGAGTACATGCAATATTTTATAATAGGCATTAGTGGCCTGCAGCAGCAAACATTCTGCAGAAAAACTCACAAAATTATTTTCCAAAAAGTAGCACACATGCAGTGGCTCAGGAGCAACAAATAAAATATGCTCATATAATTAGAGATGGGATTTCCACACAAATACAAGTTTTTATTTTGAGATTCGTATAACTTTGTAACTTTGTTTTATGGCCAACTCATTTAAAACATTTATACTTTTACCATGCATGTCTTGATAGTTTTTTGGAGAAATTCATGCTTAATACATTTTTGAACTTTTTTTTTTTTCATTTAATACTCCGTATCTTTTACACAGTGAGTTAAAATTCATATACACAGCAAGTACGCGAGGTGATTTGTGTACTTTATATGTAACTTATTGTTTTCTGAGAATAACTGAACAATTTTTAAAAATTGTTAATTGTTCACCATTACAAAAGTCAGAAAAAGTCTAAACTTAAGATGGCGTGATTGATTTAAGGTGCTGTATGTTTTGTCAGAGTACATCATAAATTAGTTCCATAACAAAAGAGGGGTTTCTGTGTGGCCTAGTGTGTTTGTGGAATTTAAATTTTGTAGCACAAGTGTGGGAAAGGGCTTTTTTTTGTTATTCGATTGACACTAATTTGGCAGTAAAAACTTCCCACATAAACATAACTTGTGTACATGCATAGCACTATTTCGTGCTAGTGGTTTGTCCATGCACTTTGATATGGTGACTCATGAATGAAGAGGGGAAATTTGAAATGAGTTTTTTGTGATTAAGGCCATAACCAGACTAGTGTCCTGTTCAACCTGGAAAGTCTGTATCACAAGAGTTGTGGATGGACAGGATAGACAGTTAATCGTGGCACCCGAGAAAGATTTAAATTTTTTACCACCAGCCAAACAAATGTGATGATTTGTCCTAAGATTCAGATTATCTTGTTCTGGACTCAAATACGGTTCAGATTAACCCAAATTGCTTGAAAAAGCATTTACAAAATCTTGTCAAAAAATAAAAGAAATTTACCCCATTGAAAAAAGCATTTGAAGAATTCCAGAAGAAACAGCATGAGAAACTCAAAGGATATTGAGGGAATTTCGGTCAAAGTGGGAAAACGTTTCTAGATGTGTTGATATTTACCAGAAAGCCATATAGGATCTAAAGAAAGATATGAAAGTGATGTAGGCTGAAAGTACTTAACTCAAAGGTAGGTGTGATGCTTTGGAAAATGAGCAAAAAAGGCTTACAGAAAAGCTTAGCGTGTTTAAAACTAATTAGGATACCAAGATCACACGAGTCATACTTAAGCTGGCTGGAGAAATAACCGCTTAGAGGCAAATTATGTAATTCTTCATGGAATCGAAGAAGGTAAAAGAATATGGAACAAATTCTAGAGATTTTCTAAATTGGGTTCTGAGAAGAAGCTGGCCTCTGATGCTGATATTTGTACCTGCTCTTCACAAGTTTTACAGCTGAGAAATTTCATTTCTGCAAAACAGTAATCTCTGAAAAAGAACTCGAGTCTTAGGTGCTATACTGTGAAGTTTTGCACTGAAACAAAGAATTATCACCGAATTTATATTTTATGGTGACCAAAGCCCTTGCAATGCTCTGAACTGCAGGATCCGAGATCTAATTTAGTAGAATGTCAAAGGTCCGTACAACTGCTTCAATAACTTATAAAACAGGCACTCCTAAAATTAGCACTGGTACATACAATACAAGTCATACACTTCTGGAGGTGGTGTTTCCAGTCCTGGAAAGGCTCCGGGATTTCCTTTAGAGCTGATGCAACATGAGCCTTGATGTTTTCAAGCCATGTCCCAATGTTTCTCTTTCATGCTTCCTTTTAAGCAAGGAAACAAATGAGACTGCAAGAGCCTGGTCAGAATTGCACAGAGGCTGGGAGAGCATTGGGGTGTGGGTCCTGGCCAGGAAATCGTTTATTACGGAGGTGCGTTGTCGTGATGAAATTTCCTGCATCCTTCATGTTGTTTCGGTATGACGCAGTCCTTTGAACACTTCTGAGTAGAAATCTTGTTTTCATAGTGGTCCCGTTATGTAGGAATAATATGTTGTTTCATAATGCCTCGGAGGTAAAAGATGGCCATGGTTTTGTCCCTGGACCTGCTCATGCTGCTTCTTGGGGTTGGGCAATTTGCTGCTGAGTCTCTGAACTCTGTCGTTTTGGTTCCGGGGTGTACTAAAAAAATCCATAGCCCAACACTGGTGATAATTGGGTTTAAAACGTTTGGTTCATTTTCACACATTTCTAAAAATTCTTAGAATTGAAGCACTTGCATGCCATTTTGTTTGTCTGTCAACACTTTTGGGACCAATTTGACACACACCATTTTTAAATAATCTGATTCAAGCAAAAATCTTGTTTTTGGCGTTGTTAGTGTTTCTTCTGTTAATTGAAGCCTCAACCGTCAGTCAGAATTCAAACTATAACACACTCACGTCACATTTTCATTGATTTGGGAGGTTGATAGACGCCCACTCGGGAACATCTCGTCCTTTCTTGAATGGCTTGTGCCATCGTAGGACTTGTCATTTGGACAAGCAATTACTATCATAGACCTGCTAAATGGAAATCTTTCAGGAGTGAACTTAACAAGTTTAATTCAAAATTTGATTGTGTAACGTTGTTTCACTGAAGGATCCATCACACCAGGTAAAACCTCACAATGGGAACGGATGTGTTTAATTACCTACAAACTGGGGTATAATGATCGAATATGCTAGTCATTACACCACCGAAGCCACTACACTACTGATTAGCCCGATTCCATCCACTCATTAGCACTTCACTATCTGGAAAATCTTGGAAAACTTTGATCTCCACTCTATGCCTTCAGTGATATTCACTGACCTCTTGACTCTTATCTCTGTTGAATCGGATGGAACCCCTCCTCTGTTGCTGATAGAATGTGCTACTGAACTTGCTCCTGTCTTACACAAGTTTTTTCAAGAATTTTTCAAAAATTGGAAAACTGTAGAAATTGTTCCTATTTTCCAGACAGGATATAAACTACAGACTTATTAACTACTACCAATCTGCTTGACCTACCTGTAAGATCTTCAGGAGAATCTTGGCTAACCGAATCCTTGAATATGCACTAGGAACTGAATGCATTCCTTAAATCAGCCATCACCGAACAGCAGCTGATGAGCTGCTGGTAGCTCGCAGGGAACTTTTTAGTTGCTCGCAAGGATATTTCAGGCTCAGTATTTGGGTTGGAAATACCTATATTTATAGGTAATAAAAGACTGTTATTTAAACAAAAACATATATTATTTCCTACTTCAATGAGTAGCTCATGGTAAGGTTTATGAGCTGTAAGGTAGCTCTGTCACTTAAAAGTTTAGTGACCCCTGCCTTAAATCAACATGGCTCAATAACCGACTTCAACTTATATCATCTACTATCTTTTCCAAAGCATTTAACAAAGTACTTCACCATAACTCCACATACTCTAATACTTTGGAATAGGAAGCCAAATTTATCACTGGATTCAATCCTCCTTGCAAGGCCAAAGTTGCAGAGTTAAAATTGGTAGTCAGAAATCCTCTGTTAGAAGAATCACTAGTGGAGTTTCGAAGAAATAGAAAACTTTGTATGTTATAAAGAAAGCTAATAAAGCCATATACATCTTCAAAAAGGTCTTTAAGAGCAACACGTATACACATCAACTTTAAACATCTCCCATATGAACAAAGACTTGCCAGGCTGAGATTTATTCTATTGAGTCAAGGAAGAATAGATGCCAACATCATTTTGAAGGTTTAATTCAAAATCGTTCATGGATATTAGTTGATCTGCAAGATATATTCATGTACTCTGCCAACCTAAATCTCAGAGGGCATTTCATGAAACTTCTGAAATCAGGAAATAAATTGGTTCAAAACAAAAATTTCTGGAGCAATGGAGTTATAGATCTTTGGAATAGCTTCCTTGAGCCCAACGTGACAGCAGCTTCAATTAATGTACTCGGAAACCTCTGATTGCTTTGTAAATGTACTTAATATTATTATACTCTATATTTTCACATGTTTATTTTATAATATTATACTTGCACATAATCAGAGTTTCACCTATGTATACTGTAGCCTTATCACTCCTTATAAATAAATATAATTTTATTGTGCATGTTTTGTCCATTTTTGCCCTTCATTCATGTGAGCTATTTGATAGTGCATGTTTGTGTGTGTGTTTTTTAGCATTTAATAGTGCATAGAAATCCTGTCTTAACATATACTAACACTGCAATAATTAAATATTTTAACAAAAACTATTTTCACGAATACTACAACAACGTAGTCTAGTATCTTTATGAAGAACAACAGTTCTTTACATTACTAGAATATCAAAATAGTTTCTGTTCTATAATAAACGAGAAAATACATATTTAACTGCGGGTAGGCTCTTTCTTTGAACCTTGCTGTTGCATGCCATCAACTGTGTTGTTAGCAGAGACACTAGAAATATTTCTCTATCTTATTCTAACGTCATTTCTTTCGTTCAGAGTTAAAATTTAGTTCTTCTATGTTACCTATCTTCTTCCTTTCCCTCCTTCCCTCTTATTCCTTTTCTTTGCCCTCAATTCAATACAAAAGTACACATCCCTTTTACCCCTTCAAAGAAGTAATATGTTGTGCATTATTAATGCCTTTTTATGCAATAAAGGTTCAGAAACTTTACCAACTTAAACTGGTCAATCTTAATGACATGTTCATTGTCAAGAACTAGAAAGAACAACTAGAAGCTAGAAAGATGAAAGTTTAATGAAACAAACACAAAGAAAGGAAGAAGAAGAAAGTGAAATGATTCTTTGGAGCTAGGAGAGGTTTAGAATATAATTATAGAATTTACCTGAAGTCTCCAAAAAAATATTGAAGCTGTCCCCTGAGAATTCTTTTCATTATTAATTCTAACAATTCATACACACACAGAACATTTTTTTTTTTTTTAAGAAAGCAAAATATTTCTCTCTTCTGTATATTTTCTTTTTAGTCTTCTTCTCCTCCTCCTTTCTCTTGTACTTTTCTTTGTATAATTTTCATTTCTCAATTCCTTCTTCACTTGAATCCTGGTTTCTTTCTTGTCCTTCTCCTGTACCATGCCAACTTCAGGACTTTCGAAATCCTGTGAAACTTTCACTCTTTGAATTGCAGTCTTTGTCTTTTATCTTGTGATACCTAAGTTCACCTGCGTAAAACTACTGAATTTTCTCTCTGTCTGTCCTGAACTTCTTGTACATCTTTAACCACCATTAACTTGACATTTGCGTTGTTTAATGTCTGAGTTGTAAACAGCAAACTCAACCCCTGCATCTTACCAAAATCTTACAGAATTTTAATTCATTGTCATGTTGGATTTCACTTACTAGAAAGTTACGATTTGAAATTCTCTTCAATATAGTGATCACAATTACCCAGCATGCCAAGAAAACACCCATGAATAAAATTAGGTTTTATACATACATGTGGCTTTTTATGCTTTCTACTGCATCTTATTCTTTCATTAAGTTTCAAGGCTTCAAGTTTCTCAACAGTGAAAGGCAATATATGAAAGTGTATTCCAATCAGCTAGGCTTAATCTGAATGCATGAGGACTCCTTAATTTTCAAAAGAGGTATTAAGAAAAAAATCGTCAACTTGTACTTTGAGTACATGCAGTAATTATATTTAATGATAGCTGTGAAATACTGTTTTCATGTTGTTGTTGTTTTTTCCCCTCCATAAAAAAATGAACTGGTAAAATCTTACAATTTTTCTTCTTTTCTAGGATGTGTTTTTATTTCAAAATCCATAAGTACAAATTAAACATAATTCTTTATGTTCTTTGTGATTTCATTCAGTGTTATTACATATTTTTCTTTGTGTAATTGATGTAGTGAGTAGTTTTAATTATTTCATTAATCAAATGAAATTTTAGATGGGAGATTTAATAATAATCTTTATGAAGAAGTGGGAAAAACTAAAAATTCAAAATAAGAGTACAAGTGGCTACCCTGCGGAACATGTGAACATATTTCTGTTTTTAAATTTCTATATTATATTATTCATTCTGTTTAAATGTTTGTTTTATCCCATTGTGTTTGTACTATATTTTAACACTTCATTGCATAATACTAGAATTTCCTCTACTTCCATTCAAAAGTTGAATTTTTTTCTAATGAAATTTCTGTTTTCTTTTAGTCTACACCTGTTGGTTCAATACAGACAGGTCATGAAATTGTAGTATCTCCTAACAGAGAACGCCATCCACAAGCAAATAAGGTAAGAATTCAGTTGGATTTACTCATAAGTTAATCTTTCAATATCAAATTGAACTGAGAAATTTTTCTTCTCTCCTTAACTGGGTTTCCCCCCAAACTTCACATATTTCAATATTACCTTTGATATCAGTGCACCAAATTTGAATAATATTGGTTGCAACAGAGGTGGAAAAAAATGTTTCAGTTTTGAAAATGTCTAGGATTATGAATTCGAGGGTCGGTCAGAAAGTAATCCCCCTCATTTTTTCTCCGGAAATATTTATTGGAAGAACCCACGGAATTTCCATTCACGAGACAGCCTGCGCCCATGTGAAACAAGGCCGTGCCAGCCTTACTGGTACCAGGTCTCTTCCTGACGGTGGTGCTGGCTTTCCTTCACATTGGATCATTTTCAATTTTTCCTCCGTGAATAGCATTTTTAGTGGCCCAAAGGGATAGAAATTGAAGGGGGTTAAATGCGGACTGTAAGGTGGATGGAGAAGCACAGTCCTTTTTTTGTCTGTGTTTGTTTGAGAAAATAATAGGCAACGTAACAGAAAGTACTAAACTTAAAGGGAAATTCACACAGAAATTATTCAATGCTAAATGTTATGTGGAATGAAGAAAAATACTGAACACGCCGCACGCTCATAAGCAACGACCAGAACAGGGCAAGGACCAAGACTACTTCATTGTTTAAAAGAAGTACTAGGCTCTGGTCAAAGAGAAGAAAAAAGAGTTCAGAGAAAAAGAATGGAAACAATTAGATAGAAAGAAAAATAGATTTATTACTAATTCTGCACTTGAGTTTGAGAACTTGGTGGCAGAATACACTAACTTAACATTACAGAATATCAAAGATTGTCACAGGCATAGTTGGATTCGCGAATGAATATTTCCTAACGTTTTTTTTCTGAATTATTTTCTGAATTTTGTGCATGTGATCCGCTCTGTCAAAATATATAGGTTTCCCTAATCGACTTTGAATTTCTTTCCATGTTTGAAGGCCTGTGTACGCTTTTATACATAGCATAGAGACGTGACTTTAGTCTCCTTTCCGGTGACTCCCATACTCCTTTATTCTTGGTACCCCAGAAAGTAAATGTTGATGCTCTATGCCGGACCTTTTCTAGATTCCTTTGCTGCAAAATTCTGTATGGGTCCCAACATATCACGCCATAGTCTAATAATGGTCGCCCTAATGACATACATGCTAGTTCTTTGGCTCTCGCTGTACTCTTTTTCAGAATCCACAACAAACATATTGAATATTCATAACAAAACGTAAAGATTTCCAGGTTTTCCCTAAATTAACTTGATTTTCCCAGCTCAATTTACTGTCTAGCTGCATTCCTAAATATGTGCAAGACGTGACTCGCGGTATAACATTGTTCAATTTGTTCGCCGATCCATTGTAACTTAAACCCCTACCAAACATGATGGACTTGCACTGCAGTGGTGTCTTTATTTGCGTGAAAAAAAAAAACACATTTAATTTCAGATCAATTCGGGTTGTTAAAGAATTTGAAATAACGGGTGTAGAAATTTTCTGTTCAGGAAGAATGTTAGTAATATTTGCTTGCTATCGTCCAATGGGCAACAGTTACGAAATCTTAGGCACCCTCTACGAAATAAAAGATATAAATAACCATCATGTAGTTATTGCTGGAGACTGAAATCTCCCAGGCGCAAATTGGAAGGGGATTGTACGCGAAGGAACAGTACAACAATTAGTCAACTGACTTGTCGGAGACAGTGAATTAGAGCAGGTAGTAGACCGGCAGAACGTGATTCTGGATATTTGCCTAATTAGACTGAAAGATATATTCCTGTCATGTGATGTTTTAGAAAGTATGTGACCATAAAGTCATGTAATGTGTAATGTGACCTTATTTAAAGTGTTTTTGATTAACTCCTTTCATTAAGAAGAAACAAATTATCTTCATAATTGTAAATAAAAATGTAAAGACAAAAATTTAAAATTGCCCATATTTCACTCAAAATTACCGTGAAAAGATATCATGTTTTAGAAAAATTGTATATGGCCTTATTTCAAAACCTGTCTTAAAGAACAGATTTCGTGTTGGGGGGAACATCTCTCATCAATATTTTAGTGGTAGGAAGACACCAAAAAAAAATTAAACTTTTGCAATTTTCTAAAAATCAGGGACTTAGAAATGAGACCCGGGCCATTCTCTTAAATGGCCTTTCTGCTATCTGACAATGAAATTTAATTTTAAAAAGTTTCACCCATTTTTTTGAAAACGTCCCAGGGGTTTCATGTAAAGAACCCCACAAAATTAAAATAAAGGTTTCAAAGTCAAGGGGTTTGCGACATTGCCAAATCAATTGGAGAAAATCGGCTTAGTGGCTTAGGTGCAAGAGTTGACTGCAGATGTGTACACAGTCAGGCGTACAATCGATGGAGTCCAATCCTGGAGTCTGACTCCACAACATGTTAGAGGAAGTAAAGAACATTTAGGCACAAGATGTATCCACATTTTCTTTACCAGGGCCCAGTGAAAAGTTTTTGTGTCAAAAATTAGCCATTCTCTCCCCTGCAGCATTACAATATTTTCTCTATACTGTGTAAGCATTAGCAAGAAAATAAATGGGAAGTCAGTAAATCGCAGAACACAAGTTTGTTATTTACAGAGAGTGTGGAGCCACCTATAATGAATGCTGAATATTTACCTATGACAAACTGGATATGTCTCAACATTAAGCTGTTGTTGCAAATAAACCTCATGTTAGCACCATTGCAGAAGGCTCTGGTATAAGTCAGGTCATGACATGACAGAATTCTAAGAGTCAGTTCGTTTCAATTGTTCCGTGTGATGTTGCATCCAAGAATTCCGTGGCATTGACTATGAGGATTGTAGGGCTTGTAATATTGTAAATGTGAAAAAATGAACCAACACTTCGTTTATTTTCTTCTTATACTTTTCAGTTCTTCCTTTTTAGAGTTTGTTTCCGCTTAAAAGCTTCCTTCTTCATGTTACCTGAGGAGTTTGATTTTTCAGAGAATTCTTCTTTCAATGTACGAAAATAAATTATACTTACACTTCCTTGAAAGTAGTATACGTGAAAGACTATTGTAATTATGAAGAGGGGTTGATTTCATTGATTTTTCCATTGTTTTCTTTAAATTTAGTCTCCTTAATAGTCTCTTAGAATCTGTATTCCTGATCTATTGATCAGCACATCTGTTATTTATTTTGCAGGGTGGAGGCAAAGGTGTCCCAGCATGGCCAGATGTTCCAAAGCAGCAGTCAAATGCTTTAGGGAACTTGACTCCAGCTGATCGTCATGGTTCTGTTCAGGTATTAATTTGATGAAAATAAAGTTGTTTTATTTAAAATTCCTTTCTTAGTGATAAACCCTTCATTATTTTAGACTCCTATTTCAAGTTAAACTCAATGTATTTTTGAGGATCAATGAAAAATCCTTTCATATACTAGTGATAGACTAAACAATTGTAAATTTCCTATGTAATGTTGTCAACAAGAAAAAAAATATTAATTTTCTGCCAGCCCAACAATGTTGGAAAAATCGTAGTGGCACATTTCTTGCCTTTAGATTTGGGTTGTGTCTGGCGAATCCAGACATTCTCAATAGGCTGTTAGAATTCCGCTGTTCTGTAGTAACATTTCTCACATCATATTAAAGCGTAGTAATTTCAGCAAACTTTTTGTATTGTTTAGAACCCCAACACAAAATGCTCCTACAACACATACTTTATCGCACTCTGTAACTGTTTGGAAAAATTAAATCATCTTAATTACTGACATAACACATCTCAGTCATCACTGATAAAACTGAATACAAATCATAAAACACTAGATGTAAAAACTATTTCTTTTAGAGCTAATACATCAAAAGAAATTCGTCTTTATTATACACAGCTATATATCTCCCATTAATGAGCAATAATTATCAGAATTTCCAACTGTCGTGTTATGGTGCGGCATGTCATTGTGGTGATTCATTTTAAAATCTCCAAAACGCTTGCAATAGCAGAAAATTAAAAAATTCTCTAAATTATGCTGAACTTCTTGTATAAAACAAAATGTTAGACCTGTATCAAAATAGATTCCATTTACCAAAAAAAAAGCTACCATCAAAATTGTACTTTTGCAATGTTAATTTTTTGTTTGAAATTTCCCAAAATACAAAGAGTTCACCAAAATTGAGACCGGCACCTCTTCTTTACCTTTCTTTTCTTCATATGAGACAGATAAAGAAAAAAGGAAGATTCCAAAAAAATATTGAACTTCAGCAATTTTGGAAAATCAGAGGGGTGAACGAAAATACAACCTGCACCACTTTCTTTACCACACTTCTGTACTTTCATGGAGAGAGAATAAGCACGAAAAATTCCCAAAAACGTCTCTCTGTCTGTCTCTCTGTCTGTCTGCTTCTCTCTGTCTTGTCTGTCTCTCGTCTGTCTGTCTCTCTGGTCTGTCTGTTCTCTCTGTCTGTCTGTCCTCTGTCTGTCTGTCTCTCTGTCTGTCTGTCTTCTTGTCTGTCTGTGCTCTCTGTCTGTCTGTCTCTCTGTCGGTCTGTCTGTCTCTCTGTCTGTCTGTCTGTCTCTCTGGTCTGTCTGTCTTGTCTTCTCTGTCTTCTGTCTGCTATCTGTCGTCTTTCTATTCTATCTGTCTGTTCTCTCTGTCTCTCTCTGTCTGTTCTCCTGTCTGTCTGTCTCTCTGTCTGTCTGTCTCTCTTGGTCTGTCTGTCTCTTGTCTGTCTGTCTCTCTGTCTGTCTGTTCTCTGCTGTCTGTCTGTCTCTCTGTCTGTCTGTCTCTCTGTCTGTCTGTCTCTCTGTTCTGGTCTGTCTCTCTGGCTGTCTGTCGTCTCTGCTGTTCTGTCTCTCTGTCTGTCTGTCTTGGTTCTGTTCTCTCTGTCTGTCTGTCTCTCTGTCGGTCTGTCTCTCTGTCTGTCTGTCTCCTGTCTGTCTGGTCTCTCGGTCTGTCTGTCTCTCTGTCTGTCTGTCTATGCTGGTCTGTCTGTCTCTCTGTCTGTCTGTCTCTCTGTCTGTCTGTCTCTCTGTCTGTCTGTTCTCTACTGTTGTCCTGTCTCTCTGTCTGTCTGTCTCTCTGTCCTGTCTGTCTCCTGTCTGGCTGTTCTCTCTGTCTGTCTGTCTCTCTGTCTGTCTGTCTCTCTGTCTTGAGTAACTGTCTCTCGTCTGTCTCTGTCTGTTCTGTCTCTCTGTCGGGCTGTCTCTCTGTTCTAGTCTGTCTCTCTGTCTGTCTGTCTCTAGTCTGTCTGTCTCTCTGTCTCTCTGTCTCTCTGTCTGTTCTGTTCTGTCTGTCTGTCTCTCTGTCTGTCTGTCTCTTGTCTGTCGTCTCTCTGTCTGTCTGTCTCTCTGTCTGTCTGTCTCTCTCTGTCTGTCTGTCTCTCTCTGTCTGTCTGTCTCTCTCTGTCTGCTGTCTCTCTCTGTTCTGTTATGTCTTCTCTCTGTCTGTCTGTGCTCCTCTTGTCTGTCATGTCTCTCTCTGTTCTGTCGTCTCTCTCTGGTCTGTCTGTCTCTCTCTGTCTGTCTCGTCTCTCTCTGTTGTCTCTCTCTCTCTGTCCTGTCTTCCTCTCTCTCTGCTGTCTCTCTCTCTCTGTCTGTCTGTCTCTCTCTCTGCTGTCTGTCTCTCGTCTCTCTCTCTCTGTCTCGTCTCTCTCTCTCTCTGTCTGTCTCTCTCTCTCTCTCTGTCTGTCTCTCTCTCTCTCTCTCTGTCTGCTCTCTCTCTCTCTCTGTCTGTCTCTCTCTCTCTGTCTGTCTCTTCTCTGTTCTGTCTGTCTCTCTCTCTCTGTCTGTCTCTCTCTCTCTGTCTGTCTCTCTTCTCTGTCTGTTCTCTCTCTCTGTCTGTCTCTCTCTCTCTGCTCTGTCTCTCTCTGTCTGTCTCTCCTCTCTCTCGGCTGTCTCTCTCTGTCTGTCTAGTCTCTCGTCTGTCCTGTCTCTCTGTCCTGGTCTTGTCTCTCTCTGTCTGCTGTCTGTCTGTCTGTCTCTCTCTGTCTGCTGGTTCTGTCTCTGCTCTGTCTGTCTGTCTGTCTCTCTCTGTCTGTCGGTTGTCTGTCTCTATCGTGTCTGTCTGTCTGTCTGTCTCTATCTGTCTGTCTGTCTGTCTGTCTCTATCTGGTCTGTCGTCTGTCTGTCTCTATCTGTCTGTCTGTCTGTCTCTGTCTGGTCTGTCTGTCTCTATCTGTCTGTCTGTCTCTTTGATCTGGTCTGTCTGTCCTCTATCTGTTCTGTCCTGTCTCTATCTGTCTGCTGTCTGCTATCGTGTCTGTCTGTCTCTATCTGGTCTGTCTGTCTCTCGGTCTGTCTGTCTCTCTCGCTGTTCTTTCTCTCATCTGTCTCTCTATCTGTCTCTCTATCTGTCTCTTCTATCTGTCTGTCTGTCTGTCTCTCTGTCCCCGTCTCTCTCTCTCTGTCTCGTGATTTTCTTTTACATCTCTTACTTGACAACTCTTTCTTTGAAAGTGTGTGAGAGTTAACCTAGTTTTTGTGTAGTGTTTAATATTTAAATTTAAATGCACTATTCTTCACCAATTGAGGTCTTGGAATCTTTCAAAACAAGGAAAAAAATATTAAATGAGGGTGCAGCGTAAATAGTGGCCTATCCCAGATCCTGTTGTTTGGAGAAATTGCTGATGAAGTTATTGCAAAATTAAACACTCATTGTAAGTGTGTTCATATTATGATATAGATGTAAGTATGGACCACTGACTAAACTTTTGTGTGGATTACAATCTTGTGTAAAACAGCATCGCCTATGCGTTTAGGTCACTTTGGCACAAAGAAATTATCGTAAGCTGAGTGCTATGGTTCTTTTCTGTAATTATAACTTGAAAACTTTCCGACGCGAACATGCTGAAACGTTAACACCGTTGAAGTTAGGAAAGATTAAGGTGTGAATTAAACACAGAGAACGCAATTTCCTAAAAATGTGGGATAGGCCACTATTGCGCTGTCACCCTCAAATATACATTTATTAATTTTCCATCTGACATTCATTAAACAGGCCACCAATCAGATATCACCATATCTGCCATTATTCCAGTAATGTTTTGTAACAGTCAGGGTGAATATTTTCTTTTGAATAAGGTGCTGCAGGGCTTTTTAGATTGAGAATCTCAATTGCTTGTTACAGAATTAGTTTATGAAAATCCCCTTAATATGTTTACGCAAGGTTTCAAATTCTATTTAGTTTTATGTATTGGCATATTTTGAATTAAATGTATTCTGATTGTATTTCTATTTTTTTAGGTTGTGAGTTCAACAAATGGAGAACTAGCCAATGATGATCCTACTGCTGGTCATTCCAACACTCCTATAACAGCTCCAGCTGAAGTTGAAATAGTGGATGAAACTAAGTATGTATGCTTGTTTACTCGCATAATGCTCTTAAAATTTGATAGGTCAGTGTGTGCCCTGTTAGATAAAAACTTTTTCTTAAAATGCCAGAATCTCTTAGAATTGAAATTTTAATGAGTTTTGTGCAGAATTTATTTTCTATCTTAAGGATGATGGGCAGTTCAAGGATGTGCTGTTAGGAAAACCTCGGAACTGAGGAAATCAATAGTTAAAGTTCTTTATTTTGGCCATAATGCTTTTCATTAACCCTTTGACATGTTCTGGACGTGTTAAAGTGTGGAAAGTTTCTGCATGATCACATGTCCTGAGAGACTCTGGACACTAGATAATGCAAGGGTGTTTTTTATATACTTAATACATGTCACAAGGGCATATTTATTTCGAAGTTGATGTAAGCTGCTGTATCTGTGTGTGGTTCTGCTTATTTTGATGCTTTTATGTTTTGCTGGTCTCATTTGTAGTTTGAGTTCAGAGTTTTGCTCCTGCAGTCTAGTTCAGTTTTCACTAACTAGGAACAAATAAATTTAGTTTTTCTTTCTGTTAACATCACTAATGAGCACTTCAAGAAAAGATGGTGTGTGTGCGTGCGTGAGCACGCTTGTTTTTCTGCTTGCCTATCCTATTTCAAAGAGAAATTTAAGGCGACACTGACATTCCTATCACTGCCTTTTCAACTCTGCCAAATTCTGGAATCCTTAAACATCATGTGTGTGATCGGTTATTATTGGATTTTCCCTATAATCTAGAAATTACTGCTGTTAACAAATATTTGGCTCAGCAAAGTGCGATACCAGCAGCAATATGCATTACACACACCAGGTTTCTCGCTCTTGGGTACACCTGTCGCAGTCTAAAGGTTAATAATCTTAACTCAGTTTCTTAAATTTATTGACCAGAATTTTCATTATGCATTTTCAATCTCTCTGTTCCAACATAAAGCAAGTTAGCTCCATTATCCTTTCTCTATGGTTGTGTACCACAGCTCTCTCTCACCTCCTCTCTGATCCTCTTGTGCCTCTCCTCTCTCCTTTGCTACATTATCAAATAGTTGTTTATGTATTTAAATCATTAAATACTCTTTGCCCTAAGGGCGACTTTAAACACAAGGGAGAACCAGGCTTGAGGAGTTGTAGGCTGCCCGAGAGGCAAAACCGTCAAGTACTTTTGTGGAACGTACAAAACTTTATGGTTTATTAGTTCATTGCTGAGTCAAACTGAAATCAAAAAAAAAAAAAAATTAAATTTTATCTTGCAACTAACATACAAAGCCATGGGTCACACGGTGTCAGTTAAGTGCCGTGGATGTCTCATTACTAGGGGTGGATTTTGATGACCTCAAACATTGCCAAAAATGATTAATAAATGTTTGAGAAATGCTCTAAAAGCAAAACAAATTGTTATAATATTGATCAAAACCACTTCAGATTAATAACTTCAGTTGTTGGATATGTTACCGATGAAATTGAGGCTTCTTCCTTTCATTCAAGTAAATTCTGCTTGGTTTGGACTGTTATTTTCCCGGAAATCAGTATTTTTTATCATGAAATCAGCTAAACTTACAATGGTGTGTCACAGGATCCTCAGAATCCCATACTCACAAAGACTGATATTACAATTTCTGAGCTTAGAAATCGAATACGCTATTCAGAAATCCTGTAGAGAACGCTTGTTACATCTCATAAATATTATTTTAAGCATGCAGCTTTAAAATTGATAAAATCTGCAAAAATGACTGAAAACGGTAAAAACCGACTTCTTTATAGAAATTGATAAAAAATGACGAAGAAGGAAAAGGCAGGGGGGCATACAAAAATATGTCATTTCCTTTTGTCATAGCTTAAATTATTGTCTATACTAAAAGGTTTATGCTGAAGTAAAAAGAGAAGATAAAAAGAAATTTCATTAAAATCCTCCCCCTTAAAAATGTAACAATTTACGAAATGCAAGTTTAATTTACAGAATCGCCTTGCTGAGACTTCAATAAAAGGTTTGCTACAACTGAAGAGAGGTTGTAATTGTAGGGTTCGGGTTAATTTTTCTTATTTAAGCTGGGTGCCATGTATATGTTGTGTTTCAGATTTATTTAGTTGGGTTAATCAGATTCATAAAAAAGTAACCCGCCGTTACTCACACTTATTTGTGTTATGAGATTATTTGTGTTACGCGATTACTCGTGTGTTAGATTATTTCTCACAACCATTAATGTTGTATTTATTACTTTATTATGGATGACACACATGCATTAATATTCTAATATATTTGTTGTTACATTGTATAACATGTATAGATAAAAAAAATTGCGTATATATGCCTTACTGGCTCAATATTTGTTTCATTACAACACAAGTATAAGGAATGAAAATGAAATTAAATCATATGGTTAATTAAAGCCATAATGTAGGCATATTTTCTTAAGACAATATATTTAATATAAATAAATCATATTGACAAATACATTTTTTTAAATTCTACCCATGAGAAAATTTAAATATTTATGAAGAACTAGCTTCCTAAGATCTACTAAGCTTCCTCAGAGCTACATACATTACAGAGAGACATGGTCTTTCCTGTGTGTTCTTTACACAGGGCATTAGAGCAAATATTGCAGCAATACTGCGTATATCTGCTTTTCCTCTTTGGACAATAAGCACACTTTATTTTCTCAGTTTCAAGATTCCCCTTTTCAATATTTGGTGGACCTTCAACCCCAGTAACTCTTCTAATTTTGTCCTTCAAACAAAGTGACTAGTTAGTTTTGACACAAGCTTCAACATGTGAGGTCTCGCAAGAGTTATGCTGAGCTGAGTCAGGAATTTTCTGCAAGACTTCATGTCATTGGTATTTGTTTTATAAATGATCTGAACATTGATTCCTTCAACGTTCATCAAACTGAAAAATATTGTGAGTGGCCAACATCTGCTTATTCTTGAAACAGAATATTCTGATTTGAGGCGATCAGCAACGTCTGCACCTCCTTTGCTAAGGTTGTAAAACGTTATTACCTCTGGTTTATTTTGGTCTCCAGATCCGGGATCAATTGCATCATCATGCATGGTAGAAATCATCAATACTTTTGTTTTTCTTAGGACTCAGATTTTCCGGTTTCTGTCCAAAAGCAACTATACTACTGTGCCCTGGCCTACTTTTTACTGATGCAAGTTCTGGAAGAATTTCTCGTTTATTCTTTCGAAGAGTTCCTACAACTGTCAGTTGATTGTTCATATGTAAAGTATTAGCAAGCAATACCGAAGAGAAAAACTGTCCATTGTCACGTTTCTTCCTGTGTTGGGCGTATCAATCTCAAAACTACACTGCTGGCATCATTGGAAATTGATTTGGTCCTTCAGGTTGTTTTCCAGATTATATTTCCATATTGATTGTGTAAAATGTTCTTGCATCACAAAGTGCATATATCTTCATTCCATATTTTGCAGGCTTTTTCGGGATGTACTACCTGAATTTGCATTGTCCTTTAAATGCTTCTAGCATTTCATCTACAGTGGTGTATGTGCTTAGACGGTAGCTACTTATGCAAGCATTTACAAATCGGTCAAATATTTCTTTTATTGGGGCCAAATTGTCTTCCTTCATTCTTTGTGCCCTTGATAGTTCATCATCAAATCTAATTGATTGCAAAAGAGTGTAAAATCTTCGTTTACTTATTGCTGCAATAAAAAAGTCAGGTGCAGTTCCATCAGTGGCCTGCAGTTCATCTGCATTTAGCTGTTACGCCTTTTTTACTGGAAGAAATAGAACTCCGAGAAATACCGACATTTTTTCAAAATCTGTTCATGGACAGTCCTGTGCATTTCGTGAATATGAAGATCCCTTTCGATCTAATTCCACATTAGTGTACGCAACAATGTTAGAGATAGAAGTATCAATAAAGAACACTTCCCAACAATCTAGAATAGATTTCAAATTTTTGCACTCCCATTTCACTCCTGGCGTTACAATATTCTGTCGTGTCTTCTTTGTTGAAGGCATTCTGTGTTTTAACCAGAATGTAATTCTTGCTTTACCCATGTAAGTTTCACAATTTACTTGAGTTGCAGCTTCCATAATGCTCTCAGAATCGCTGTCATCTGACTGCTCTGTTTCGGTATCAAGATCTTCCTGCTCGGATTCACCATCTGTGTCAGAATACATATCAATCAAAACATTTTGATCTTCCTCTTCTTCTAACCACATTAATATTTTCTCTTCCACCATAAGCTTTTCTGTTATAAACAAAATGTAACTAGCAGAAAGTACCGCAAAAGTGTACAAAAAGATAATTGGCCAAATCTATAAATCATACCTTTGATATAAGGAATACTAAAGAAAAAGAACACAACAAAGATGTGTGAAAATCAGAAAAGTTTTAGAACTCAAGAACAAAACGAGCAAGACAGAGTGAAACAACGGGAAAGAATTCTAAACAGTAGCTTTAATAATGATGTCACAATATAACATGGTTGCTTGCGTGTGAGATATTATCTCACTGGATGCGCTGCGTTAATCAGCGCCATGACAGATTGATTCCTTTCGCAGAACTGTTAAGAACGACGATCGGATTGAGAGCTGAGTCATGGGCTGAGCATTGCTAAAGCATTATCTCTCCGAGTTGAAAAATGTCGTTGCTACTGAAGTAAATGAAGAAATGTGAGATTTTTTTTCTCCCAGCGCAATCAACAGCGGGTAAATGTTATTTGTTGGTTTGGTAGCAGGCATAAAGGATTCATTAGGCTGATGCTGGCTTAAAGAATCAGAAAGGTATAAGAAGGCATTAGTAGGAATATTATGTTGTTTCATTTCAGGTTCATAAACTCAGAGTAATGAACTAGTCAACCATAAAGTACATATTGAAGATCTGTGTTTCATATGTTTCAATTTTTGTTTGTATTGCAGTACTAACATTTTTGATAGGTAAGTAGTTTGCAAAACATAATGACAGAAATGAAAGAAGTTTTGGAGGGAGTTAGAATCAATGCGGTGTATCTTATTTTATCTCGCAACCAATGTCTGGGAGTACCTGCTCTTGTGGGAATTTGGCAACCGTTTTTTTGTCAATAGTAGACTTGCAGCAAAGTGATTGCCAGAGGAGGTGAGAGGCAGGTAAAGAGCTGCACCTACTTTTCTGTTGTTGTTGTGTGTTTTGTTGTTTTTTTTCATTCAAGACTAATAATGCGACTCACAGGCCTGAATCCTTTTGAGGCAAAGTGGACTGGGTTGGGCTGGATCATGAGCCAGCAAAGAAAACTTCAGGTTTTGGGATTCTATTCAGTAGTTTTTGAAATCGAACTGAGAGATTGAATATCTGGTGGCAAGTAACAAGAGAGAAATTAAGACATTTCATGAATATTGTCGGAAGTTGAGGCATTTATTTTTATTAAAATAAGCATGAAAGTGTCATTTCTTCTAGCTAAAGTAGGGATGCAAAAGGATTTACAAACTACGAATAATCATATTTTAAAGGAATTATTGTAAAAAGTTAATAATTAAAATTTTTATTCAAACTAAAATTTACATTAGCACTTAATGTGTAAAGAAACAATCTTTTCTTGTTAATCTCTATTCCATATAACCATTCAGTATGAGGAATATGAATTTGTTTTATTCACTACATGTTCTCTTCAAAATGATATTGTGGATTCTCTTTTAAATCTTGAAATGGTACTTCAGAAAACAGAATTATATTTTTAGTTCTTCGCACTTGTTTAATTGCTAGCACTGAGAGCGGTGTATCATTTACAGAGAGCTGTCCTCAGAAGGAATCAGAAGCCATACCCAAAAGTAGGATGGGATTCGTGGTGACGGAACACACTCTGTCCGCATCAATGAAAAAAATCAAAAATCTTGCTGATATAGTTTTTCTTATTCATTTAGATTTTTAATACATCCTCTGCTTCCAGATAAAGACAAAATAGAGCCTTACCTTTGTGGGTATATAACCAGCTTGATTGAGATCAGTGCAAAATAATAGTATAAAAAGAAGGAAGAAAGGCAAAAATACACTTCAGAAGCCAAAATAGGCACCAAAAAAAGGCATAATGAAAATTTATAACCATTCCAGAAGCACAATTAAGTGATTCCTTTGATGTAATTTTATAATTGTATCTCAATTCTTGATTTTCTTTAAGATGTTGCTGCTTTTTCAAACGGAAGAAGAAGAAGTCTGGTCGTCAGAAATGACTAGCAGTTGTGCAATGCAGTCCTGAACGAGAAGCAGTGACATTGCTGAGAGCTACTTCACACTCAAATTCAAGGGACAGTGTCCTCAACAATCCCAATAGCGAGCTCCACCGCTGTCCCCCTCCCGCCAGTGCTACTTGAGGCGCACGCATGGGGTTCTGCACCTGTATTTTATTCAGGGATGCATTTTGTGCTCCACAGGCATTTGCTTGTGGATGTGTGTACAATTGTATATTGTGTGACGAAGAGATAACAGAATGATTGTCTGTTAATTTGTCTAAAACTTCAATCATTTAATTAGGTATAAATAGCTTTTTGTCCCAAGTACCTTTCCAGCTGTCAATTGGCAAATCTAGATAAATAGCAGACTTGCCAGTTGTGTTTAACTAAATTGTGTGTACCCAACATTGTTGTGTTTCCCTCCTTTTCTTCTCCTTCAGCTGATTACAATTTGTGTATAAGAATATGCATTAAAATAAATTTTATGAAATTAATTTGTCTAAAATTTCAGTATTATGAAATCCTAATAGTCAAATTAAGAGTAATTTGTGTTTGAAATGGTGTATTCTTGGGTTCTTCAGACAGTTATGCTTGAAATAGGGTGGTCCAAAAATGCATCTGCAAGAAGTGGGTACACACTCTTTCCTCGATTCTACAGACTACGAGGGGAACATCTGTCTGATGAAGGACATTTGCTGTTGGTACAGACTAGTACTTCAGGAATGGTTAATGCCAACTATTACGTTGCAAAAGAGAGAAATCAATACAGTCCAGTACCATTAACTTAGGAATTCCTGTTGTCACCTACAAGTGGATTCTGAGGCCCCTTATAATAAGAGCCTACTTGTTGATCTTTTTTGATAGTGCAATTCTCTTTGTTCTTTCATTATTTGCTCACATCTAGAAGTGTATGCCTGGTTAAAAGAAGTAAAATGCTGTCAACTCAGAAAATGTGAGTTAACCATTTTAAATTATATCTACTGAGTTAAAGAAATGTATTTCCCATTATCAAAGTCTCTAATCCTTACACCCTCTGTAAAGGGTGGGAAATGCTATATTTTATGGTTTATTCTCTCTTGATTCTGAATGAATGCATCTGTTCATCAAAGACATATTTACATGGCTCCAAGTTTTTTTTCTTTAAATTTTTTTCTTCGAATAAAGTATGCATATAAAGATAATGCAGATCCAATTTTCATTGAATTCTCTAAAAAAAATTTTAAAAATTGTAGAAGTTAAAATATTTTTTCTGCCTTTTCATACTAACTACAATATTGAAGGTAGACATCTTTCTACTTAATGAGATCATATTCTTCAAAATTAGATCTTTAATAAGGTTATGTACAATTTTGTTTCAAAATGTGAGTAGTTTTTGTGTAATATTCAGTAAGGGCAATTTATAACCAAGATTTTATCAAAAAAGTCTTCGAATTTTTTCTTAACTTTTTGAATGGATATAGCTAATACATTGAGTAACATGACATAAACGTTGCTTTGATCCTTTTATATTTTAATTTTTGTTTCAATTACAAAAATGTTTAAGAATTATAATAAGTACATAAACTTTTCTGATAATCTGAAGAAGTACATGCTGTTGTAGCACCACTAGTTCATATTCCAAGAAGCAGTGGCACAACATTTTATTGTTTTCATTACTTTTAAGATCAATCTTTCCATACCTTTCCTGTCAAAAAACTTTCCTGACAATGAAACTATGACACAATGCATAGTGAATATGTTTGAATATATTACTAACTTTGTGTAAACAAATCATATCTAAAAAGAGCTGTGGTGATTCATTTGAATGTCTCCAGAGAAGGGGGAAAGTCAATTGCAAATAAAACATTAAATGAAACATACAACATATTAGTTGTATGTGTCATTTAAATACATGTACAATGTCAACTAAACTGCACAAAACATGTTGATTTTGCTTAACTCTTTCATTATGCTTTGTATGAGAAATTTTGGATGCTTCATTTAATGATGGATCAGTGTGATATCTTTCTTTTACCAATGTTTTTGTTGTGAACAATCAATATGTAGCCATAATTTGTCATGCCTCTGAATTCTGACCTAAATTTTTTATCATGGAAATCAGTACACATTGAAACATTCCATTGGGCAAGAATTTTTCTGTTTTTCATTTTATGCAATTAAAAAAGTAATAATTCTAGAAAACAAGCCCGGAACAGTATAACACAGCTGACTCTTCTGGTCTCACCAATCGAGTTGTGAAGGGAGTGCGAGAAGTAAATACTTTTTTCTAAGCAACCCCTCATCATTGAATGAACATCAAAATGCTTTGTATTGGTAAAGGGAGGGAGAGTCCTAGAATCAGTTTGATTTGCCCTTTCATGCGGGTTTCTGCCAGGCTATGGAGTTACGGCAGTGTGAGATGAGATTATACCATGTAGCTGCCTACATTTGGACCCTTAGGTTGGACATGACTTGTGCGTGTGTGGGTGCCCAGTATTCTAATTCAAATTGCCGACAAGGGATGGCTGTTCACAGGAAGCATTCCTCTTCTCAGACTGTAAGCATTAAAAAACGTTTCTTCTTGCCTCAGCAACACTGTCTCACATTAACTTTAATAAAGAAGATTAGGAAAGGCTGCTAAATCACACAAAAAGTGATTTGTGTGCTTATGCATCGTTTAAAAAAATGTTCACCGTTTAAACGTGATGAAAGCCCATTTCGTCATAATTATGAATTAAAAGATTATTTTACTCTCCTTCATTAAAGAAAAAATGTTATTCGGTAATTACATTCAAAAAACTATGTTGAGGGGACTTCCCTCCCTTTAAAAACCGCCACTGAAACACTGTCCAAATTATCACCCTTTGTTGGGTCAAGTGAGTAATGCATGTTTGACAACTATTATGATGAGCAGGAAGCTAGCCTCTTTCCCATTAAATAGGATGTATGTTTTTATTGTACAATGAAAAACCCAAGAAGGCATCAGCAGCATGTATGAATGTCAGAAATGCACCATCAAGCAGTGTACCATCAGAATTCTGATAGGCTAGTGTCACTGTTCCCAAGTCCAAGAAAGAAAAATATTTTGCAGTTTTACTTCATAAACACTTGATTACTGCACATCTAACACCATTTTTTTCAATTAGTTTCAAAAAATGAATTGTAGATTTTCAAAAAAGTGTGTGGCACCTGGAGTTCTGTTTGAGTACAAGACTTGAAAAGATTAATTACAATTAATATTTGGTTTTGTTTTGCAAATCAAAACTTGCATATTTTTGTAACATTTCGAATCCATTATTTCATGTTTGCTGCTTGCCCATGCATTGATAATATCTGTTTGCATATTACACACTGTAGCAAGCATTTTAGGTTGAAAATGTAGGTAGTTGGAACATAACCTGTTGGTATTGGCAGTACATCAATAGGGAGCTTAGTTCTAAGTTCTGCCCTGTGGTGCAGCATTAAGATACATGATTAATAAAACAAACTATGTTTCTGTATCTACAAAGTACCAAGTAATCATATGCTTATTGGGAGAAGGGAAATAGCATGGAAATAACTGCACTTGCTGAACTGTGGTGGCTTCAACAAGATTCTTTCAATAAAAATACAAAAATATTGACTTCTGTAAATAATATTTCTACATGACAATGAGTTGATTTTATTAATGCACTAATAAAGTGCTTTTGAATAGTTGAACTTTCACTCCCAATGGGAAAAGAAAAACAGGATTTTCTCCAGTGGTTGCAGGAGGGCAGACTGGGCATTATTAACCAGTATACTAATAGAAAAATTGGAAGTGATGTCTGTGTGTGTGCAGAGATTTCACATATTACCATGATAAGTTGGCAATACTCAAGTCTGTCCTAACCCACAACACAATAATTTTCTCTTTATTTTAAAAATAGAATTTAAAGCAATAAGCTCCTAGACCAGGGCACGAATGAAGATTTGTATTTCTAGGCCTTGGTGGGTACTAACAAATCATACAGATCATTAGCAATCCTCTCCCTTGTGCTTGTGCAGTCAGGGGGAAAAGTGGGGACAATTATACATTGTGAACATAGGGGAGTTGAAGGGATCAGAAAAAAATGTATGTAAATGGTGAGAAAATGTAAATTCCAAGAACATAAGAGTTGAGTTTTACATTTTTGATTTGGACAAAATTGCCAAAGGCGCAATTCTTGCATACATTTTCAGTCACAAATTATTTCATATTGTGAAAACTGATTGGTTACAGTAATGTTTCAGTATGACAGTGCTTAACAGCATCTCTTTCAATCAGTTTAATATTTGCAAAATTTGTGCTACATCCTTCCATCACTGGCTGATCCATCCATTAAATTCCAATCTTAGAAGTACCGGTCTGTTTTCCAAACTCTTTTGCGCATGCAGTTCAATAAAATGCCAATTTTATGTTTCATTGTAACAATATTCATATGTTACATGAAATTGACGTTTTTTTAACTTTTTGCAGTCTAATCAATGTGTACATATGATATATATGAAAACGTTTTTTTCTTTGGAATATAATGATGTAAAATTTGTCCAAAAATGAAATAAATTGAGATTTTCAATGTAATGTACCACTTGCAAATATCAGAAAAGAATCGTGGTGGTAAACATAATGAACCAAAACAATGATAAAAGGTTCTGCATTCATTTAATATCTGAACAATTTGTTTTTAATTTGTACATTATTTTTTTTTTTTGAATCCAACAAGCCAGTGGAGCCCAAACACTGCCTTATCAGAAACTTTACAATCATTTATACTTCTTGATGGTCATTAAAGTGCTTAACTCAGATTTCGTGAGTTGACATTTTAACACCTTTAATCCTTTAGACACTGCTCGTTGTGGGAAGTGTTGGAATAGATATTTGGAAATTACTACAAATACTTGAAAGGTTTGTACATTTCTCCATGATCTGGTCCAATCTAAAAACTCTTTGAAAAAATTCAAAACGTACAAACTCATATTACGGTCTTAAAATAGAGAACTTAATTATATATTAAGTTTTATATTTGATGCAGAAATTTGGAAATTTTTTGATTCAAATTTGGTGTTACTAGTGCAAGTCAACCAATGCTTTAAATTGGAAGTATTTTCAATAAATTTGTTTGCTTTGGGTTTTGAAAATTTTAACATTGATGTGAAAACTACACAAGGCAAATGTTATTGGTTATTTTAGGAATACTAGTTTGCTTTCTTTCTCCTTGGCTTTTACCAATAAACAATATAACTTATTTATATTATTAACTTATAACAGTAATAAAACTTTACCATTATGAAAGGCAGCAGTGCTAAGTGAAATTGTAATAGCAACCCCCCCCCCCCCTAAAGTTACATCTAATTATTGCAACATATATGAATTGAATCTGTCAGCTTCATTCCGTTTTTGAATCAGGGGAGTTTTTAATTTGAAGCTTGTCTTGCCCACAAAGCAGTGAACAACCAAAATCCTAGTTGTTTCGGCAACTTGCCATCAATGATAATTTTTATTACATAGATACTATTCATGCCCTACTATATTTGTAACTGTTATTAAACTCGTTTACAATTGTGTTAAAAAATTTCACATATAGAAATTGAAAAGTTAATCAAGAGCACTACCCAAACTATGTAAAATACCCATATCCTGTAAATATATACACTAAATGCTGCATATTCAACATTGTTTTGTAATCAGATTCTGGATTTGTCTGCTTTTCTGAAAATTGTTAAAAGGAAGGTACGTGGAAGCTAGGTATGAGTGTTGGGCGGTCTGCTAGTGTTACTATTTTAAGTCAATAGATGCAATGTGAAAAATACTGTCTTATATACTATTGTTATTTGATGATTTATTATAATACTGATGTTTAAATTTATGATGTTGATCACAGTATTTTTACTAATTGAATGTTGGGATGAATAACAGTCTATGATATGATTTATGAATTTTGTAGAATGAACAGAAACACTACATGTTATTTCCTCATGAATTTTACCATTGGACTGGTAACATAGCCTATTATTCCATGAACATGTTTCGAGTGTTATCTTATTCTGTACATACTCTGAGATTTAATTGCATTTCAAATGACTATTAAGTATTAAGTTTATACTAATGCTACCTAATTGGTAAATTTTATCTAGTATAATTAAGAAAAAAAACATTGCACATCATCAGTAAGTAATAAAATATATAAAACCAAACATAATAAAGTAATAAAAGAAAGTTCCAAATCATTTTAAAAACAAGCTGAACTGTACTGCACTTAATGTACTTGTAAAGGGGGGGAAAAAAAGGAATTTACTAATGGCCACAATGTCCGATGACATCAAAAACTGTTTTTCCAACTGACAAATGCTTATTTGTTTCATAAAAACTGATTTAACAGCTTCTCTAATGTGTTGAAATACAAAATTGTCACAAGTTGCACCTGAGTACGTAATCATTATTTCATGACAAACATGATTTGCAAATGATGTAACATAGACCGTTATTTGGCTCAATGGTTCAATTATGGGGTGAATTTGGGAAATGAATGTGGAAAGTTGGAAGTCAAACATTTCCACTTGTTGAAATTAAACCCATAGGGAATACCCCATTAACAGTATTATACAATTGCAGGACACTTCTTTTAATTTTTGTCTTATAGTTATAATCATGATTTCAAAAGTTTATTTTAAGATTGGCCCTTACCCAATGAGTCTTGATTACTGCTAAAGTGAATTGTTGAAATAAATGAGCTGGTGAATTTGAAGTTTTGAAATGTGCAAAAGTTGGTAACTTTTTCTCAATTTGATATCAATGTAGGTTACTTTGCTTAGGTCTAGAAAATTGTCAAATATGAATTGTGGATTTCTTAGTATTTATTGTTTTATATTAGTGGAAAGGTTACAAACACTTGTTTTTGTTTATTGATGTAATAGTGAAACAAATTTATTTAAATTATATTGTGACAAATTATACATTGTTTTTCAGTGTGAATTATTTTTAAGAAAAATTGGCACATATGATATTAAAAAAAGAATTTCATTTCAATGTTCAATACGTTTCAGAATTACTTTTGACATAACTGTTTAATAATTTAAATACCTCAACATTTTATAAATTTCAATTTTGTACTTACAACTTCAAATAATTTTGAATAACAAATCTTTAAAAAAGGTGGTCTATTAAGGCATGTAAGAAAGAGCAAAAAGAATCAAAGAAGATCTTTATTAAAAAATTTACTTAACTAATACAAATTTACAAACATTTAACACTAAGAAACATGACATCAAATTCAGATCATTTATTTTGTGAATTTAATAGACCTCACACTTGGATTCATCCCAATATTTTATGATATATTACAATTTCCACAATCAATTAGTAAAACCCTTCATCTTCTTCAAACACTTCGCTTGCATCCTGTAAAACATCAACTAATCTATTTTGAGGAATTTCTGAGCCACGAACACAAATTGTGTAACAAGCATTTTCCATTTTATGAAGGCTTTGTTTCAAAGTAAATAATTTCCTTGAAAATTCCTTCGGCCCTGAATTACCAACACTCAAAAATCCATTGTAAATTTCTTTGACAAAAGCACAGGTTTCCATACAACTCTCGAATTGCCCTGATCCAAGGCAATTAATACAGTTTCGCATCAATTCACCAGTGAGATCAGCCACTCCAAGAACATATTCAGATGGAGGCATTAGCACTGAACATGTTTTAGCTGAAGTTTCATTTACACAACCTTCCTTGCTGTTTTCATCAATGTTAAACTTCAATGTCTTCTGGAGACAATTCCACCCTTCCAACTTTTTGAATTTCAAGTACTGATAAAATGTACAAGCTTCTACGAACTCTTGTAATCCTGAGGTGTAGGCGCGAAGAAACTGGTAAGGATCTTCGCCGTTCAACTCTTCACCTATAGATTTGAAAAGCGTGTTTTCCAACTGCCTAAGTCTTAAATCCGCATCTTTTAATAAATCGTGCTTGGAATTTTCTTTATCCGCTGAATGTAAAAAAAATATTATTCGTTTACTTTCAATGGTAATATCACGGCTAAATTTCACTATACGTTCGTATTTATCATGTTTTAAATCTAGTTCCGTAGCATATGAAGCAAAATGTTTCAGTACATTGGAATCGGCCACTAATGAATGATCCACTTCGGGTCGTTCTCTTTTACCGGATTCACCTCTGCGCCCCATCCGATGTTTCTTGTAAGGTTTCATTTCTTTATTTTAACTTTCGAATGTCCGCTCTGCAAACCTGAAAATCAATTAGTACATTGGATTTTTAAAATGAGATATTTAAAACAAATTGTATAGTCGATTGAAATGTACGTTCCTCAAACAAGAATACAGTAAACAGAAATACTTGTAAAATGTAAAGTGGTATACGGCTTACTCAATGATTAATACGCATGTTTGCTAATTGATCCAAACCCAAATCTCTTCTATTAACTGTTCCATCTGAAGGGGACCGAACCGTCCTGGAACAACACAACCTTTTACTCAGTTTTACTACTGTGTGACAGCAATCTGGATTCCGGAATTGGTGTTGTATTCTTTGGATCACAGAGAAAATAATAAGCGTTTCTATTTTCTCTATGAACTACGGTAAAGTAATATGGAACTCCGTGATATACTCTCTATCGCTTCGTATATCAATTTGCGTCATTGTTTTGGCGGGAATTACGGAGGCGCAAGGGAGCTATGTTTCGTAACCCAAATTTTGGCCCTCCTAAAATGAGTGAAAGATTGAAAATGACGAATGTATTATTTGTTTTGCAACAAATTAAAATGCGTCTATTGCCTAAAATATGATATAATGATAACAAATCAAAAAATAAAATTTTATTAACAAGAATTCATTAAAAATATAGAACGTTGACTTAAGTAACATACACTTTTCTTAAAAAAACGTTTTGTTTTGCCTGGATCACTCGTTCTTATTGCAGATAAAAACTCACGCCTAAGCAACAGGAGATGACTGTATTAACGCGGATGTATTTATATATTTTTTTTAAAAATAGTGTTGAGAAATGAAAAGGAGTCATTTTTCATCAATGTCGTAAAAATTAATGAAATGACACATGCGTCTCAGGTTCAAATTCTGTTTACATACAGGCGCATTTTACGTCGGCTACTGTCAAAGTTATTGGATCATCACTAAAAAATACTTAATAAGTAAACTTAAAACCTGAATAATTATCGGTAATTTTCATTTGCGGCAGAAAATGTAATCTTTTCAATCATTTTCTATATCGTTTTCCGAGAAAAGTTATGTCATTTACGCCGTTATATGTAATAATTTGCGTCATTTTCAACTGGTCATACAAAATTAATTATTCTAACGTTTAATAATTCAGTACAAAACATAGTACTGTAATAATTATAGGTAAATTAATGTATCATTAACATTCATCAATTCATTACACTTTCTTGATGTGATATTTGTTTATTTACTTAACGCCTATTCGTCTATTATGCTTCTTTCAACGAATATCAGAAGTGATTGAATTTTTTTGCGTTTACTTATACGATGGTCACTCCAAAAGTTTTGAGAATGAGCAACAATGAGTTACTCAGCAACAATGAAACTATTTCTATTGTTTTGTGAAACTTAGTAAGAATCTCGCGCAAGTTTGAACACATTACTTCTTTAATTATTAATAATTATTATAATAATAATCGCCTATTTCAATTTCAAATATCAGGACGCTCTCTCGGAATTCCAACCTATTTCTGCAGGAGTGCCACAAGGAAGTATTCTTGGACCTTTTTTATATCTTATATCAAACTTCAGACTTACCAACAACAGAAAGAACTACAATAACCACCTTTGCAGACGACACAGCTATTCTTTCTGCAAATGAAGACCCCTCTGCGCATCACATCTTCAAGAACATCTAAACAAAATCGAAGATTGGAGTCATCGTTGGCGAGTCACCGTAAATGAAACAAAATCAAAACATATAACATTTTCACTATGAAAAGAAAATTGGCCCAAAAGTAAAACTAAGCAACACAGAACTCCACGAAGCTGATACAATCAAAATATCTTGGGACTGCATTTGGATAGACGCCTGACTTGGAAAACCCACATCAAACTAAGATAAAAGAAGCGCAGCTTAAAGTCCTCAAATGTCATGGCTAATAAACAGACAATCAAAGCTGTCCTTGCATAACAAAATACTGATTTATAAAACTATAATCAAACCAACATGGACCAATGGTATTGAATTGTGGGGCTCTTCCAGTAAATCGAATCTAGAATTTCTAAAAAGATTCGAAGCTAAAAACACTAAGAAAACTATGCAACGCACCATGGTACATGAAAACAAGACGATACACAGAGACCTCGACATCGTCCCGCTGGAGGAAGTAATCGCACGAAGAGCATAGCATACCAGAGAAGATTGTACAACCACCCAAATCACCTCTCAACAAGCCTTCTAGATAACAGTGAGCATGTGTATAGACTGAGAAGAGAGAGTATTTTAGATCTGCTATACCGATATTTGTAAATGAAAATTTTTCAATGTCATAAAACGTTCACGTCGGAAATGTATCTGTTGACTCCATTTGCTTATTGTTCCGATAGGAACAGATTGTAAATTATGCAGAAAATAAAAAAGTTTGAACACGCTCGGGTAATTTATTAACATACAAGGGCTATTTTTGTTATATTAGTAGTTGTTCCTCTGCCAGTAACGATGGACCTAAAGAGAGAGCATTTCAGATCTATGATTTTGTATGACTTTAAGATTGGCTTAGATAAGAAATCATGCCTCGAGAGATTACAGCATGCGTTTGGCAAAGGTTACCCTTCACAAGCCACTGTCTATCGATGGTTTGCCGAATTCAAGAGGGGAAAGGACTCTGGATGATGAAGAGTATCTGGCAGGTCCAACACAGCAACAACGGATGAAAATGTACTGGAAGTGGAACATTTGCTAAGGGAAGACCCTCGTTGTACATATGCTATTCAGGAAGCTTTAAATATTGGATCAGCAGCAGTTAGACAGATCCTGAAAGAAAAGCTTCATGTTAGGAAGCTGTGCTGTCGCTGGATCCCTCACAATCTGTCAAATGAACAAAAAAGGGCGCGAGTGGTTTGGTGTCGTGAGATCCTGGATAAGTTCAATGGAGGAAGATCAAAAAACATTTTTAATATCGTGACGGATGATGAAAGCTGGACTTATCAATTTGATCCAGATATGAAACGGCAGTCACCAGTGTGGTCTTCCCAGATGAAAATCCTCCAACGAAAGTGAGAAAACCCAGAAGCGATGGCAAAATGATGATTTGTTCTTTCTTCTCTGCCAGTGGCCATATTGTGACAGTGCCACTCGAGGAAAAAAAGACAGTCACTGCAAGATGGTACACTACAATTTGCTTGCCCAGATTGTTTGAAGAGCTGAGAAAGAACCGTCCAAAATCAGGTTTGCGTGGAATCCTGCTCCACCATGACAACGCCTCATCCCACACAGCCAGAGCAACAACTGAATTTCTGACAGAATCAAGGGTTAAAACACTGTCTCATCCACCCTGCAGTTCAGACCTGGCCCGTGTGACTTTTTCTTTACCCTTATGTGAAAGAAAAAATTCGAGGTCATCGTTTCGAGTCAGCTCAGGCTGCAGTGACTGCATATGAAGATCAGATTCGCAGTATCTCTAAAGAAGTGTGGCGATCGTCATTTGATAATTGGTTTAATCGGATGAAACGTTGCATAGAGTGTAGTGGAAAGTACTACGAGAAGATGTGAAGGTAAGAACTTGTTATCTCGATTTTAAATATAGTATTCGCAAAACGTTTGTAGTGACTGTCGTAGATGTGAGCAATTTAATTTAATGTATAGGTGTCAGCAACAATGTCCTCCCATATGGTCATTTGACATTTTGTTCTCCTAGACAAGGATTTATTCTACTAATAATATTAAACGTACGGCAATTATAATATTAACTATTTATAATATGCTAGCATTAACAGTGAACATA